CCCCATTTTGGTTCAGTGTGGTCTGTTGGGCTTGGCATAGGACCTCAGGTCTGAACAATAGCTGCCCACACCATAGCTCTTTACCAGAGCAGAGAGGAGTCAAGGCAGCCAGAGCCGCAGAGAAGTTCACAGAGTTTCCTGGGGAAGCCCACAAACAGGGGGTGACTGTTCTGTGACAGTGGTGCCCACTTACATTGCTTCTAGAAACCACTCAGATTCAACTTACTAATTCCACTTTTCTCCAAACCACCACACTGGCCCTACAGTGTGGTCAGGGAGAGCAACCTTCCATCTGCCAGCTTACTACCCAAGTGATGGAAAATGGCCACGACCAAGTGAGGCTAAAGCCAGAGTTGGGAACTTTATCCAAGTCTCCCATGTGGGCACAGAACCTAGGCCATCTGCTGCTGCTTTCCTAGGCACGGGAGCAGAGAGCAGGATAAGAAATGGAGCAGCTAGGGCTCATCTGGGATGCAGGTAGCTAAACCCTCTACACCACGGACTCCTATTTACACTTTTTAAAAAAGTATTTATTTATTTATTGAAAGAGTTACAGAGAGAACCAAGAAACAGAGAACTCTATTTGCTGGTACATACCCCAAATGACCACAACATCCAGAAGTGGGCCGGCGTGATGTGAGAAGCTTCATCTAGGTCTCCAATACCGGTGCAGGAGTCATCTTCCAAGCTGCTTTCCCAGCCACATCAGTGAACTGAATCAGAAGTGCAGCAGCCAGACACAAACCACAGCACATACAGGATGCAGCTCTTCCAAGCAGCAGTTTAACCCAATACATCACAACACTGTCCACCCCCCATTTATACTTCCTAATTAGTATTCAAAATTAGAGTTAAAAAAATCCTTCTGACAACCCCACCATACTACAGAAATTGAATAAGAAATGTGAATGATACATTCTGAATGACTAAAGAATAGTAGGGGTTAGTTAATAAATGGTGTTCACAGTTTACTCTGGGGATAAGCAGAAACAACCAAACACTTGTAAGGTTAGATATCCGAATGCATACTAAGTCACTGGGGGAAGTGTCTGCATCCTGTATTGGGGTACATGGGTTCAATTCCTGGCTCCAGCTCCCAACTCTAACTTCCTGCTGATGCAGAGCAAGAGACAGTAGCACTGGCTCCAGCAGCTGGGTTCCTGGCACCCACATGGGAAAGTTATGATCCGGACTCCCAGCCATTGCCTGGAAAGCTGCTGTGGGTATTTTGGGAAATAAACAGATAAGTGCTCTGTCTGCCTCTCAACTATTTAAAAATATGTTCCAAATATTAAAGATTCATACACACAGACACACACACAAAAGGAAAAAAACCCAGAACCTGGTTTCACTAGAAAACATAGTTATATGCTTTGGCTTGAAACACCCTAGCTAAAACACAGTAACAAAAGGAAGACTAAAATAACATAAAAATTCTATACATCTAAACATTTTAAGTGGTCAATTGGGAACCAATATTGCCAAGTGAGAGAATTTACTATGTTTATACTTTGAGTAGATGTAAGACTGCAGTTCAACTACTGCAGGCTTGAGGGGAAGGCCCCTTGCTCCCATCTCCGCTTCAAGATGCCCAGGCCATAATCTCATCCAACTGGCTGTACCTGTCTGGCCCCCTACGCCTTGCACAGTGCCTTTTGAAATGTTTGATCTGGCTGGACAGGACATTCTGTGGCCTCAATTTCCTCAGCCATCTCTCCCCTGCGTGGTACTAAGTGAAATCTGAGTACCCCGAAGAATGTTCGGTGGTGACCACTTTACTCCCGTCATCCCCTCAGCTGTATTGTTGAGCCTTGTTGCTATCTCAACCCCCTGCTCCCTCTTTCTCCTCAGGACTCTGCTGGCTTTGAATAACCGACCCACCCAATCTGCTGCTTTTGTTGTCATCTCCCAGTAACTGCAGGGATTAATATCAAGACCCTATATGGAAATCTGTGGAACCTCACGTCCCTGCATAAAATGGTACAGTACTTGCATAGTGCACACATGCGCCCATATACTCAATCATACCTAGCACAATGTAAATGCTCTGGAAGGAGTTGCGGTGCTGTACTGCTTAGGAAATAGTTCCATCTTCAGTCCTGCAGTTTTGATCCTGAACACTCGCCATCCTTGGCTGGTTCAATCTGAAGGCCTGGAGCCCGCAGACAGGAAGGGTTTGGGAGATGTTTTCCGGCTTGCTGCCATCGGGATATCTGTGCCTTTCACAAAAACTGTGCCTCTACTTGTGTTTCGCCTCCTGGTGCCTCTTCTCACCCTTCATGGGCTGCTTCTCCAAGCTGGGAAGAACACTAGAACAAACACTAGAACAAGGTCTTTTCTTTGCAGGGAACCACACTCTCTAGTTTTCCTAATGCCCTCTTTATTCCCTCAAACCAGCCTATACATTGGCATTAAGACTCATGCATTTCCAATTCCCAATCATCTCTGTCCTCAGCCCCCAGTGTTGCCCAACTTACTGGTAAATTATCTCTACTTGAAAATCTAGTAGGAATCCCTCAATTAACACACCATAAATTGAAATAATCTACCCACCTCAGATCCCTTCCTTTCTAGGTCTGACCCACAGAACAGCACTCACTGGCTCAGACACCACCTGGGAATGATTTTTCACTCCCGTTTCTATCCTACATCAACACATTCAGTTAGCTCCATCTTTGAAACGGCAACAACCCAATTACTCCACAAGTAGTGCCCTAGACTGGACCTCTATGGAAACTGTAGATGAGAGCTTCTACTCTGGACATCTGTAGTTACTCTGTGCACTTCAGGGATCCTGTTTAAAGCCCAGACCACAACTGTTACTCTTTTGGTTGAATCCTTCCAGTGGTTCCCTGTGTTCAATGTAGATAGCCTTCACAATGATTCACAAAGCCATGTAAGATGTGGTATCTGGCATCTCCATATTGTGGTTTTGTCTTTCAGTATCAAGCTTTTTGCATTTTTGTGATTTCTGTTTAAGTGGCTAGGTACAGCCATGAAAGTGTTTAACACTATCTCTTTTAAAAAAAATCCATTTTTATTCGAGTCAAAGAGACACAAAGACGATCTTCCATCTTTTTCCATCTGCTGGCTTACTCCCCTAATAGCTGCAACAACTGAAGCTGGGTCACTTCAAAGCCAGGAGCTTGTTGCAGAGAACCTCAAGGACTTGGGTCATTCTCTGCTGCCTTCCCAGGCCATTCAGCAGGGAGCTGAATTCAAAGTGGAGCAGCTGGGACATGAAGCAGCGCCTGCGTGTATGCTGGCGCTGTAGGCAGAGACTTTCACACCATGGCCCTGCTCTCTAGCATTCTTAAGCACAAAACAGTGGTGAGTCTTTTAGAGAATATCCTAGCCAGGGATGAGTTCAATCTGTACTACACATTTAATAGTGTATCATTAACAGACCCTCACAAAAACAGTGGTATTCATAGACTGGCTGACTGTATAGCAAGATGCTTGCAGGAACCTCACACTGCATTTCCCCAAGGAGCGATGGTTTATAGTTTAGTACTTGCTGACCTGGTGTTCACTGGTGACTTTATGAAAACTACCAAAAATTACAGGAATTAACTATAATTTCCTCCAGATACTACCTAGCATTCCATACAACAGTACTTCAAAGGTTAAGTTTGTTTTGAAACGAAAGGATATTGAAATCTTTGCATTCGAGTACTCATCTTGTTTAGGAGGCAAACTCGTACAGGGTAAGTATTTCCTTTCACTTTACTGCCTCACCCTGGCTCACTGCATTGCTGTGCACTTAATGTTGTTATGTAATGTATTCCATATATAACAAGAAATACTTGTATCATGGAAAACCTTTAACAAGCAAAAGATGGACAGCAATTCCTCAAAGAAACTCAACTGGTTAGCAGTTACCTCGTTAGCAATGATGAAAACCCAAAGCAGCCACGATATTCTTTCCTGGCTTCAATTCTATTGCCTATGCTTGGGAGAGTTCAGGGAAGCCAACCAAGCAATCCTGGAAGATGTTAACTGTGTGTATCCTTTGGACCAGCACAGTCATTCCTCTGAACACCTGAACATGTGCCATAATTTGTGGGGATTTCAGCACAATTAATGGTAGCCGTGCGAAATAGTACAATTCACCTCAGAATCTAGAAAGATTAGTGGAACAATGGTGATCCATATAATGTTCCATTACGCAATTTTTCTACAGTTCTCAAAAACTGAGATGGAAAACTATTAAGCAATATGCAAAAACAAATCATATACATATAGTCCAATAGGTTCTCATTTTCACTTAAGACTTGTATGCATACAATATTTGCAGCAGCTATAATAATCAAGATGAATGTTTAAAATTCTGGTTTTCCTGTATTCTTTCTATTTTTCATACAATAAATATACACTACTTTTGTAATTTCAAGAAAGAAGAGGTGTGGGAGTAAACCTGACAGATCATTAAGTACTGGGCTTTTGGGCAAAGTACTGAAAACCTTACACCTCAGTAAATGTTGTTGCTAATGGCAGTCACTTTAGCAGTGGTGCCGTCTGGAGAACCAACAGGATATGAAGCCTGAGATGGAATGGAAACTGGCAGCTCTCCTGTGTTGACAACCACCCTACTCAATCCCAGCTGCACAATCTCTCCACTGTGTACAGGGGCTCTTTGTCCATGAGATAAGAGGAAAGTTGCTCACGCATACAAATACTGGGATTTACTTTTATTGGAAGGTCAGATATACAGAGAGGAGGAGAGACAGAGAGGAAGATCTTCCGTCTGATGATTCACTCCCCAAGTGGCCGCAATGGCTGGTGCAGCACCGATCCAAAGCCAGAAACCAGGAACTTCCTCCAGGTCTCCCACACGGATGCAGGAACCTAAGGCTTTGGGCTGTCCTCTACTGCTTTCCCAGGCCACAAGCAGGGAGCTGGATGGGAAGTGGAACTACCAGGATTAGAACTGGAGCCCATATGGGATCCCGGTGCGGTCAAGGTAAGGACTTTAGCCACTAAGGCACCGCACCAGGCCCAAATACTGGGATTTAAATCAACCCACATTTCTTTCTTTTTTTTTTTTAAACATTTCATAAGTAACAGAACCCAACAGACTCATACAGTAAGCCTGGTAAGCTTTGCTTATTTTCCTAAATAGAACTGGTATATGATTTCCCAATTTGTATGCACAAAAAGAATAAATGTCTTAGGGAAAAAATTGAGGTTAATACATTATTTTTTGGTGGATCAATACAAACACACTTCTTATTGTTAAAGCTCATTTACCAATCACATAACATTCCTCAACATTCTAGCAGTAAGGTTTCCTGGCATCCTGAGGACAGAAAAAGCAGTACCATCTTTACAGCACTCTATCAAAAAACAGGCTTAGGCTCTAAGACCAGAGAATCAGCACACAAAACTATCACACATTCTTACATCGCATACAACAACTTACATCTGCATAGTGTTTTTCCTGAACCAACATAGCCAAAATTTAAAACTTGAAAATGTAGTGCACTCAACTGTTCAGGTTGCCAGAAAACCAAAACACACTTCCCATGTTTAGCATTTTGAGATCCGTATCTTTCTGTAAGTAGAAAATGAAACTAACAACAAAAACATATTCCTGATAATTTTAATTTGTAGAAAAAAAAATTTCATGCTTCACAGGCAGAACCAAAAGGAAGTCTACATTTTGTTCATGGTTATTACCTAAGGCCAGTGTATAACACACTATCTGAAAGTCTTTTTTGTAAGTATAAGAATAAATATTAAAAGAATCAAGCATTCAAAAATTCTCAAACAGGCATTCATCAAAATGAGGTAAGTCTAATGTGTCATTGGCTAATGAATCTAATGTTGATGTGGAAAAAAACTCATCCAAAATGTCAGTCTTCATTGGACTCTCAAAGCTTAATGTTTTACTGCAGGCATCACTTGTTGCTAAGTCTGGTTGAGTTTCACACTCATTCTTCCTGCTGGGGCTGCAATAATCACGTTCCTGTTGGAGAAGTGTGTTTTGGGAAGTACTGTTTAAGTCACTAGGTACTGGTGCCGGCATACAGTCATCTCCCAGTTCCAAATATCTGAAGTCAACATCCCCATTGTCCGACAGCTCCGTTGAAACAGTGTTTGTAGGAGATAATATTTCTGCCAAAATTTCTTCCTGAGTTTGACCGTTGTAGGATAAAACAGGAGAGTACCCCAATTTATTATCTGCAATATCAATGTTATATTGTAGCTCTTTTAACAAATCATCTAATGATTCACAGCAATTTGGAGACTCACACTGGGATATGTGTTCTGAACTTCCTCCTGGAAGTGTTCCATTTTGGGGGGAAGACTTAAGTGCAGCTAACTTCCTCTTTTTGGCCTTCAGTTTTTTAAGAAGTTTTAGTCGAAGTTTATGAATCTGACCTTCAACTGAATCTCCATATTTTGCTGAAGAAAAAGTTTCATTTCCATGAGGACCGTGGCTGAATTGAGCTCCATATGAGGTGCTGTCAGACTTGTTCAAAACTATCGAGGCAGCACTCACACCCCCAGGCGGAGCAGCTACACTAGCAGGTAAAGGGGCTGTGGTAGGTGGCAGAGAAGCTGGAGAAGCAGCCATGCTGGGTGGAGGACCTGGAGGAGCAGCAGCCATGTTGGGTGGTAAAACAGTTGTGCTAAGGGGTAGAGAAGATGGAGGAGAGGCTGCGGTGAGTGGAGAACTGGGAGGAGCAGCCATGGTGGGTGGAGGACCTGGAGGAGCAGCAGCCATGCTGGGTGGTGAAACCGCTGTGCTAAGGGGTAGAGAAGCTGGATGAGCAGCCTTGGTGGGTGGAGGACCTGGAGGAGCAGCCTTGGTGGGTGGAGGACCTGGAGGAACAGCCATGCTGGGTGGAGGACCTGGAGGAGCAGCCATGTTGGGTGGTGAAACCACTGTGCTAAGGGGTAGAGAAGCTGGAGGAGCGGCTGTGCCGGGTGGTGGAAGAGCAGCCGTGCTGGCTGGAGGAGCCACTGCGCTAGGTGGAGCAGCAGCTGTGCTGGGCGGTGGAACAGCAGCTGTGCTGGGCAGTGGAACAGCAGCTGGAGGAATGGCTACACTAGCTGGCGGAGCAGTGGGCGGGAGACTGGGGACCAGAGGTGGCTTGCCTGCATGCTTCCGGGTTTTCTTGGATCCCTGCTTAGCCTTTGGTTTTTTACCTTTCGCTTTAAAGTTGTCCACACTGTTTGCCCTTGCAACTACAGAAGGCTGCAAATCAGTGTCTCTATTGTAAGCAGAAACACAGAGTGGCATAAAAGAAACCCCTCTGCTTAACAAGCCTTTAACCCAACTTCCCACAAATGGTTTCTTCTGATTCTCTTTTACAGACTGATTCTGTAGTGGCTTCACTATTGCAGTTTGGGAATCTGTTGCAGGTTCTTTCTTGTTCAGATTAGATAGCAGAGATGGAGCAGCATGCTGCTCTGGTTTTGACGGCTCAGATTTGGGAGGAAGGAATTGTTTTAACTGAGCATTCTCCACTTCTACTGATTTCTCTGTCCGTGTAAGCCCAGCAGAGTGACTGCCATCCACAGCCTTCGCACCAACAGTGTCTCTTGTACTCAGCTGCACCAATGGCACATTTGTATTTACAGCTTGAGATGGACAGCCTGAACCTACAAACTGGCCTTGGACTTGGTTTTCTTTACACGGTTCTGGTACTGAAGAAGCCATTAGTGAGTCTTGTGTCTGTAAAGTATCTGTTTTGACAATTCCCGTTTTATTTGCGTTAGGTTCATTTTCCAATAGGACAGTTTGAGACTTAACTTGAAAAACAGTGACACTTTTCTGGACAGCTTCTTTCGATGTTGAAGGTAAAACCTTGCTGGCAACCACACTTTTTGGCCCTGGAAGGAAATGATCCCCAGGAGCCGCAGCTTCATCTGGTGGACCAGTGTGAGGAGCAACTGATCCACCCGCAGGGTGTGTGAGTGAGGCTGTTCCCGCTGAGGAGGCTGCCTGCCTAGGACCCAGTGCTGCAGAAGATGACCGATCAGCACCAAAAGCATGCTCATCATTAGGCTTCCCAAGGGGAAGGCGGGCAGCTTCTTGATCTGCCAGCTGGGATGTTTTTCTTTCCCAAATAACAATATGTATCTCTGAAGCAGGAACTTCAAATTCCTCGTGTCTCTCGCAACAGAGGCCTTTTAAGTCGTCACATTCCAGCCAACTTCCTGGGGGTTGGGGAAGAGTCAAAGAGGTTACTCTTACAAACATCACCACCCTAGTTAAGTTTCTTCTATTTTAAATGTTGTCTTGTCCTGATCATCACCCTTATCCTGCTACAGTCCTAATTTGAATGGCAAGAATTAGGGATTAATATATTCAGAAATCTTAAAAATGGAGGCAGCTTTCTGGATAAGTGACACTCTCCAAAAATAGACACAAAAATCAAGACAGAACTATGAGCATGATTAACTTCTGGTACTTAGAGTACAATAACAATCAATTTATCCAACATCATCAAAGAGGTTACGTTGTTCTGTATTACCCAGATAAATGAAAATTACTACTTTAGTTGCCAACATTTTTTAGTTCTTGGATTACTTGAGTGTCTCATTTGTCAAGTGAGAAAAAAGATGGTGGATGCCAAGAGACACATCTGAAGACCAGGACTAGGTCTGTGAAGAATCCACTATTCCCAACAGTGTGCTCGCTGCTGGCAGTTATTTTTGACAGATTTCAGTGGAGTGGTAGGAACAGCGGTCATTAAGCATTGGTGAAATGTGAGTGGAGAGTACAAGCTGTGACTTCATGTAAACCATTCCTTACAAAAAGAGAAAGCAAAGACACCATGAGGATGGCTACTGTCAAGCAGCACCACCACAAAGCACAACAGTACGTGTGGTGGAGACAGGCACAAAGTGGAACTTTTTTACTGGGGAATGGAAAACTGAACGCTGCTGTGCAACAGTCTGGTAGTTCCTCCCACGGTTAAACTGAGAACTACCCTGAGACCTGGCCCACCCACTGCAGGTACACACACAGAACTGAAAGCAGGGATTCAGTAACTTGTCCCCTAACATTCAGAGCAGCATTACTCAGCTAGCAGGGGGGACAAACCACAGGTTCACCAATGGATGAGTGGGTAATAAGACAAGGGAATCTTTCTAAGCCTTTAAGGAAAAAGAAAACCTGAGAAACATTATAACATGGATTCATCTTGAAAATATGTTAACTGAAATAATTCAGACATAAAATGACAAATATTGTATAGTTCCGTCTTGCATGAAGTACCTAGGGCTGTCAAATTCAGACAAGTAGCATGAATGGTGGTTACCAGGGGGTATGGGGAGAGGGAAGGGGAATTTAAGAAGAATTTGTTAAGATGATGGAAAGTTCTAGAGATCAGTGGTGCTAACTACACAACATCATGAATGTATCTAACCTAATATTGCACACCTAAAAACCTGAATAAGTTTCTCAATATATCTATGTTTGTATTACTGACTTTGCAAAACAACTCATATTTCCCCTTTACATATCAATATCTATAACTATCTGAAGTGTAAGTAGCTAGAAAAAGTAAATTGCCATGGGAATTGCAGCAAATACGTAGCTCTATTCCTAAGAAACACAATATGATTTAAAAGTCATATTAACTCACCATCCTACTCACTATCGGGCATTTTCTACTCTGAAGTGCATAACGGGCATCTAACCCAATGTATTACTTTGAGGATGAAAAGGGTGTTAGAAGCCTCAGCATAAGTATTAAAAGTGCATTAAATTTCCCTTCCCCTTTTCTTTTACATACACTTTTAACCTTAACCAAAAAAAATATTCCTAAAAGCATATAGAGAAAACTGCTAGGTCATATACATAACACATCTGTCCTTCATCTTTTACTGTCCAGAAACATTTTAAGAGGAGAGGAACAGAGAATTCAAGTACAGGCTTCAATGGTCTCCTAGAAGGAACTCACTGTGAGGAACTGGGAAGTTAAGGAGAGGAGAAAAGGATCTACTCAAGAAACTTCAGGTCAATTTAGTTAGTAAAAGACTGGTCAATTTCTGAAGTATCAGTAGTGACCTACGTGTGAACAACCCAACACAGAAACATCCCAAAGGGAAAAATTTAGAACAAGATGAGAATGCTTATTAAAATACAGATATGATATAAACAGTACATAAATCACACAACAGAAATAAAAATGTTCCAATAGTTAAATAAAGAAAAAAAAATTAAACAGACTTCCGCTAACCCTCCCACATACACAAATATCTAAAGCCAGAATCTTTATTCTGTACTCATTAAAACTTTGAAGCTTTGGTTGGTCTACATCAGTGGTTCTCTATCACACGTGTGCCTGGTAAGCTTTTGAATTATTTGAGGCCAAGCTCCAAAACGGATTGATTTGTTGAGGTTAAAGCCTGAACATTTTTAAACTAACCAACGGATTCTTGCATGCTGTTAGGACTGGGAACCAGGCTGTGCCTGAAGTAGACTTTCATTCCCTCTAATGTTAACAGGAAGCTGGTTTTGTTTTTTATGTTATACAGAATTACCTGTGATGCAGGATGATACCTTAAGGTAATAATCATATTCACAATGTAAGTTTCAGTCTACAAAGTTCTCTTGTAGTACAGTATTTTTAGTTATGACTTCAAAGATATCTGAAAGGCCTGCCCCTAATAATACAGTTTTGTACCACCCATTCAAATCATTCCCAGGAGTGCCCAAACAACAGAATGATTAAAGTGACTCCTCCAGAACTTTCAAGGGGTGGGGCTGTTTCTGCCTAAGGCAAAGTAAACACTCAAATTTTCCAAAATTCATGGACAACACTTATTACTGAGACTCTTATGTAAGAAAAGGCTTTACTTTCACCGTAGCTATTAGCAAATCATGCATTTCAGATATTCTGTTTCACAGTGACAAAGGACTATGCTGTCTAATCATCTTCAAAACAAATGTTTGCTATTTTGTTTATGCTAACAACAGAGTAAAATGATGAACTTTCTCTTTAACATATCTGTGAAATATCTAAAAAATTCTGAAAACTCCAGGTCTGCATTGTGGCTTAGTGGGTTAAGTCGCTATCTCAGATGCAGGACATCAGTTTGTGTCCTGGTTACTTTCATTCCAGCTCTCTTCTAAAGCCCTGGGAAAGCAACCAAAGACAGCCTGAGTGTTTTGAAGTTCCTGGCTCCAGCACGGCCCAGCCCTAGCAACTGCAGGTGAACCAATGATTGATCTCTCCCTCTTTAACTCTGCCTTTCACATCAAACAGAAAGATCTTTTTTTAAAAAAAATTAAGTAAACATATAATATGCAATTGAAAAACTAAAAGGAAAAACATGAAGTGGAAAATAAGTAAACAGTAAACACAGTGTATCATCTCATCCTCTGATTAAAAAGGAGATGTACACAGCATAAGTGTATACCCAGAGATCTAACAGAAAAAAAAAAGAGAATAAAGGTACTTCAAACAGTTCATGAGAGTTTATTTTGCTGTAGAGGCAAGAAAAGAGAGCAAAAGGAATTAAAAAAAAAAAAAGGCTTAGTTTCTATGCCTACTATTACAAAAGAAAACACTGAAACACTCACCATCAGCATCTAAAATCCATGTAATAAAATGATTATTTGCTTGGTACTGGATTACAGACTTTATTTGATAAAGACATCCTTCCAAATGAAATACATAGCGCTGCAAGTCATTCTGTGGTAAGCCTTCCACGAAGTGCACCATAAATATGGGAGATGCTCTGTGTGGGGGAGAAAGAGAAGCCAAATTCAACACCATGTGTCTGCTCACATACAGGCGGGCTGAAGCAAACTGGTCACACGTAACACTTTGAAGGCTAAATGCACTAATTTTTCTTGAGCACCTCCAGATGTGTGTCTTAATTGGAAATGGAGCACTGACTCTAAGAAATGTGCAACACTACACCCACTCCGAATGCTGTCGGTAACAGCTGGAAGCCATCACGCAGGAAAGAGTCTAGCACAGACCATCCAACAAAAATTGCTCAAGGAGCAATGCTGTTTCGGCTTACAGAAGATTTCTTAATAGCTACATGGTAGAATCAAAGGAAAAAGCCTGGACCTTTGAATTTTCTGTGGTACCAAGTAGCCAAATTAAATTAATTGCTTTTGTTGGGTAGCATATGTAATGCATAAAACAAAGGAAGAATCTGTTATATTCAAATACATATTAATTTGCCTTACTCCTCTTGGCTACTCCTGGAAGCTGGAAAGTCTACAAACCAAAATTTTCACTGAGGAAATTTCTAAACAGAGTAGAAAATATAGCACCTTGGCTGATATACTATAAACCTTAAGACATCTATTATTCCAACAAAATGCCTGTTACTATTGCAGTAACATGCCAAACCAGAAAATAGAACCCAGACAGGCCTCAAAAACCAAATTTAACAAAGCTCTTAGGATTTAAGAAAAATGTTGAATATCCGCTTTTCCAATATTTGAACAGCTGTCAAAACTTACTTATCTTATTAAAATATATTCTGCTGAAATGAACTGGAATCAATGTCCAAAATGAAGATTATTTAGGCTGACAAGAGATAATTTGTAAATTACTCCTTGTCAATCATTCTGACAGAGAATAATCAAGTCCTCAATTTTAAATGCCTATGAAGAGAAAGGCCTGCAGATCGTCTACAGTGCCAGTTTCCATTATTTCTACCATTCCCAATTTATCGAATCTGACACGTCACTGTAAAACATACCGCAAGAAAAACTCAAACCACATCATGCCATCAAATTTGAGATATATTCCCACTGCAGCTTTGTTAAAATGTGAAGTCTATGTCCTTGTGTCAATGATCACAGTTACACTAGAGATGTGCCTTCACAGTTCACTTTGTGTCTGAAAGCTAACAAAGTTACTATAAAATCAAATATTTATAATATCCAGTTCAGTTGGCCTCCTATAAAACCTCCTGGATAGTTACTAAGATTATCTCTTTTTGATTCTTAAGATTAGGAAATCACGCTGTTCCCCTTCATGTGCGTTAAACATGGATTTTGTTCTAAGACGTAGACATTAACATAAGACAATACACTAAGACCATCTGACACTTCTGTACATTCCAAATCTTCTAAACTATTCTCTGGCAAATTAGTATAACCACCAAGATAAAAATCTGCAGTTTGCACACTTCCTTGGATTTAGCAGACACCAGAACTTTAACTGAATAGAGGACCCTGGATACAAAGAAATGACTTGTCTGAAACCTCCAAACCCTGTTTGAGATCCAGAGAAGTTGAAAATTCAATTTTCTTATCAAGCACAAAAGGGAGGACAATCACCCAAGAATTATATCCCTTTTAAAACATCCTCTTAATTATACCAGCCTCTGATAATCAGTCGACTGGCCACCAAGGTTCTAACAGGGCTGATGTGGAGCAACATGATAGAGAAGATTCTAACATTTTTGCCACTTTATCCATATAGAGATCAGCCTTTCAGAATTAAGAATATCCTCTTAATCGCTTCTCGGCCTTTTGGCTAAAATCAAGTGCAGAATGTCCTCTTAGCCTCGCTTTCTATTATTTTTTCAAATGCCAGTGGATCCCACTTTCCTTTTCTCTAAGGCTGGGGATGCACCTTGTAATTGACAGCACACAGACAGGCATTTTTCCAATGGCACAGTAAAAGAAACAACAATACAACATGTAAAGATCGGTATCCTGGAGTTTATCAAATAAAGCATTCACCTCTTCCAACTTCCGCTGCTCATTTTCTTCACTGGGAACATTTTTCTACCACAGGTCTTTTGGATATTTATATCATCATCTATGGGTCACACAAAATTATCAACTTAAAATTAGCTGGTTGCATACATTTATTGAATTTCAAGTCTTGCCTGCAGCTGCCTATGGCAGAACCAGATCAAATGCTTTTATGGGTCTCATACAGTGGCAGACAGGACATTCCCACCTGGCCAAGAACCTGGTGTCCTTTGGAAGTTACATATCCTGTCCCTAATTCCAGCTTGTAGCATTTCAGTCTCTCGAGTGAGGGTAGAACTTCCCCTCTACACTCGCACCGAGCATCATTTTCAGGCTTCTTCCTGCCTCAATGCCTGGAGCCAAGGATGATGCTCAGAGTTCAAAGCAAGTTAGGTTCTGCCTCAACCATGGGAAAACTTCATGGGATGGTTTAAGAGAACTAGAACCCAGAGTCAATAAGGGATTTCAAATAAGATCCACCTGCATTTGACTGAAGTGGACTTGAGCTCCTCCTGCTTAAAGATATACCCTCGGAAAGTAAAAAGTACAAGAAAACTGTGCTGGTATTTGCTGCCCAAAAGTAGCAGCGACTTAAGTTCATGGCTCATAAGGGCAGCCATATCTTGTGCTAACAGCTTGGAATACAAGTTTTTTAATTCCATTTCAACCAAAGGACTATTGACTATTTTAGAAAATGCAAATTGGGACGAATATATGCACATCTGAACCGCAATAATGCAGGCCTTAGAAAATCTAACTTTTTAAAAAATTTATTTATTTTTATTGCAAAGTCATATACATACATACATATGTATATATATATATATATAGAGAGAGAGAGAGAGAGAGAGAGACAGAGAGAAAGGAGGTCAGACAGAGAGGAAGATCTTCCGTCCGATGATTCACTATCCAAATGACCGCAATGGCCGGTGCTGCGCCAATCTGAAGCCAGGCACCAGAGACCCTCCTCCAGAAAATCTTTTAAATCTCCTATTTCACATCAATATCAATATTGCAACTATTCTAAATAAAAGGAAAAATTATAAATAAAATAAACTGTAACCCAAATAATTAAATTGGTTACTATTAACTGGAATAAGAAAATACTTGGGAAAATTACACCTGCTCAACAAAGCTCTGCAAGCTGTACTTTGGAGGCAGCATACGATCTTATAAAGAAGGAAGTATTTCCTGTCAAACAATAAGGATTTTTTTAAAATACATAACACTTTTTTTTTAAAGATTCATTTTATTTTTATTGGAAAGGCAGATATACAGAGAGGAGAGACAGAGAGGAAGATCTTCCGCTTGATGATTCACTCCCAAAGTGAGCACAACAGCCAGTGCTCTGCCGATCCGAAGCCAGGAGCCTCGGATTAGCCTTATTTAAATAGCTAAATAAATTTTAGCTATTTTATATATCAGTATCCACTCAAACTTTTGCAGAGCAGGACATAAATTTTGCATTAGCGTCACAGCTTTTATACCATTATAACAGACACCTGAACAAGCTCTACAAAAACAGAAATGTTTTATTTCTACCATCCCCTTATCCTGTACAAATAGTTGATTACTAACTCATTGTTCATAGTTTAAATGAGGGCCCAGCGTGGTGGCCTAGCAGCTATAGTCCTTGCCTTGAACACTCTGTGATCCCATATGGGCGCTGGTTCTAATCCTGGCAGCTCCACTTCCCATCCAGCTCCCTGCTTGTGGCCTAGGAAAGCAGTCGAGGACAGTCCAAAGCCTTGGACTCCTGCGTCTGTGTGGGAGACCCAGAAGAAGTTTCTAGATCCTGGCTTTGGATGAGCACAGCACCAGCTTTGTGGTCACTTGGGGAGTGAATCATCGGATGGAAGATCTTCCTCTCTGTATATCTGACTTCCCAACAAAAAATAAATAAATCTTTGAAAGAAAAAAGTTTGAGTCTTTTCAATGTACAGCCATGTGTGATCAGCTTCCTGAAGAGACCACAGCTGCTGTGAGCTCTCATTCTGAGCGTCTGGGAGGTGAAGCCTGGTTGGGAGAGCTTGGTGCTCAATGTCCGCATGCTCCCGGTGAATCCCTCCAATGCTATTGCATGTGCTGCTGAAGCGAGTCCATAAATAAATTCCTAAACAATTTCCTGAAAAAATGAAGCCAATTTTGATCCACTATGCTTCATTCACCTGATTTATCAATGGACTCCTTTTCAAATGAGAACATAAAATAGACGTGAACTATCTGAGACAAAGTGTTCAATTGGCATGACTGGGTTACCCGCATCTCATGATATTTCATAAGAGATTCCTAAAGTTGTATTAAATCTGCTTAATTTCCTTAGATACAAACAAATCAAGTTATACAAATGTCAAAACAAAAAAAAATTACAAAGCACTTACGCAAAGATCTTGTAATTTAAAATTTAGTGAATTTTACACTAGTTGAATTTACTCTTTTGAACATATGGGAAATGTCAAAATACACATTTTGTTTATAAATCGCTTTTGAATAACAAAGCAAATTTTCTACTGAAACTCTTACCTAATATGTACATTTTCAGATTATAGCATGAAGCTTTAATGTAAGTAAAACAGCATATTACTGTAATTAAAAGGTGAACACTGCAATGCAGCCACTACCAGATCAAAGTAACACAATGAATGCATCCTCAATCGTGGGGCTTGAGAAAAAGCAGCTACGAACAGAACATTGTGAACTCCAGGAGGCCTGAAGCAATCCAACAGCCGGGTGCAGGATGACACTGCCGACCTCTCACCTGTCTCCCCAAGTGAGATCCCAAAGCCTGCGCACCAGAAAGCCAAGACAGATCACAGACTTATATGGAGTAAAACTCTTCCTTTCCACTTTGCCCTCCCATCAGCTGCTGTGTCAGCGAAGGACAAAAGAAGCGAGCAGTCAAAAAAGGAAAAAGAGGAAAAGCAGACGGAAACAAGCAACACGGAAGTCAGCAGATTTAAGACTAAGAGGAACAGACAAGTGGTAACTTGGAGAGAAGGGCCCAGGTGGTAAGAGCAGTGCTGCAGAGTGGACATGCCAAGGAGAAAAGGTCTTCTGCCCACCTGAGTGCCAGAAGACTGATGTTTATAGATGCTACAGAACATGGGATGAGGCTAAAAACTAAGGGAGTGATTCAACCTCCCTGAATCAAACACTGCACTGCTTGGCGCAAGAGGGAAATACACCTGTATATATAACAGTACCTCAGTTTATGACAAATGAACTAAAACAAGTTTATTTGGGTGGCAGGAAAAACAAAATCCATGCATGGTTTTTTCAAAACACACACTTTCTATGAAATTTCCTGAAGTTCACTTGTTTCCATAGTACCTTAGTACATAATTCCACTTAGTACATAGTACCATAATACATAATTCAAGTACCTTGCAAGTACTAAGCTAATCAAATGTGTTACCACACCAGAAAGACAAAGATGGGGCCAAGGTTTGGTGTGAAAAGCCCAGACTTCCACTATGGTGTGGAGAATAGTCTACATAACAGCAGAGCCAACAAATAATTTGGAAATGCAACAATATAGTGGTCCCTTGGTATGGTTAGAGAGGTTGGATTGGTACCAGGGCCTTTATATATTCTCACTTCTGTAGATTTCCAATCTCTAATACAAAATGGTGCAGTATTAGCAAATCCATGCACATCCTCCCATATATTTTAAATAATCTCTAGATTACTTATAATACTTAATGCAATGTGAAATAGTTTTCTATAATGCTTAAGGAAAGTCATTACATGTTAATGCAGATACAATTTTAAAAAGCGTATTTTCAATGCAGAGTTGGTAGAATTCAGATATAAAGCATTGACTGTACTATCTTAATGTGAATGTCTGAAGCAGAAAGCTTGGGTAAGGGTGAGGACTGTCTCTTTTCCTTTTAAACCTGTGGCATTATTAAATGAACAGAGTATCTATTACTTCAATGAAAACAACCCTTTAGGAGAGATGCTGAGGGTTTTCTGGCACATTCAAGGGATCATAGGTTAATGTCACTGGCTCTTTATTATACCAAATCATACCTCAAAACATTTCCTTAATGTGGAGCTACAGGTAAGTGACACTGAAAACCAGGGTTAAAGATGATGTGTCTATGTGTGAGTGACTGCCTAAGATATGCTGACCCGAGAGAAGAGATGGGGCTTTTGGTGATGCTAGAAAAGAGAATTCTAACCACCTATTCTACTGAAGAGGAACAACAAGGCTGGCAAAACACAGTCAAAACACATTTGCTTTTAGAATAGCATGAGGCTTATAAGATGATGATTTAGCAGGCTGATCTGGGAAAAGATGGAAATGCAGAAAGATGAGCTAATGGTTCATCTTGGAATCATCTTAGTTCTTGAAATTAAAGAACTCTCAGATTCCTAGTGACTTCAGGCACTTGGCAGAGGAGAGAAAAATGAAAGCTTAATACCCCTAAAAGGGAGTGGTCGGGGGGTCGGGGGCAGAAGGATCGTAGGAGAAAGGAGCCTGACAGCCTCTCAGTGAACAGTGCTGTGGCTTGTCACCGCACGGGGATGACATTAACAGGAGCACCTGGTGATCCGAAGAGTGTGTTAACTCAAACTTCTCAAAGGTAGATTACAGTCACTTTTCCAACAGCATACATTCAAAAATATACAAACCACCTTCACTTTGTCTAAAATTGCAAGGAATTGTCAACTTACTTTTCTAACACCATTTTCCTTATTTGCGATTTATTGTTGCAATTGTTACAGGGACCAAAATGAGCAGCATTCAGTGGGTGCCATTCAGGGATGACATTTGTAAAAGTGACCAGATTCTTCACACACCTATGAGAAAATATGACAACAATTAAATTAATTCCTGTTCATTTCAGTCATATAACTTAGGCCAGCTTCTAAAATTAATAAGATATTTCCTTCATTTGCATATTCCTATTTCCGTATTTCCTCAGATCACCTATCACCACTGGCCTTAGTAACGAAGTTCTCTGAAGATGCCTCCCACGGCCCAGTCTCAGAGATGAAGCAGGAAAGTGACAAAGTTTTCAACAGTTTTCCCCAGTACCAGGCAATCCTCTGTGGCAGGAGGCATCATTGTGAGACTTTTGCCTTCCCACTGGCCACTGCTTCTCAGGGGCCAGTCCCAGTTATAACTGATGCATCTGGAATTATTGCCAAATGTCCTCTGGCTGGGGAACAGGAGCTCTTACCTGAGACCCACTGTCTTAATGTTGCCAGACTGATATATGACTTAACCGCTACTAAAACAATTCAATGGAGTTAACATTACTGGCACAACCAAAAGTGTTTTCTTTTTTTTTTTTTTTTTCCAATTGGAAGGTTAGATCCACAGAGAAAAGGACAGAGAAAGATATTCCATCCGCTGATTCACTTCTCAAGTGGCCACAATGGCTGGAGATGAGCTGATCTGAAGCTAGAAGCTTCTTCAGGATTTCCCACATGGGTGCAACATCCAAGAATTGGGGCTGTCCTTGACTGCTTTCCTAGGCCACAAGCTGGGAGGTGGAAGGAAAGTGGAGCCGCCGGGACACAAAACATTGCCCATATGGGATCCCAAAACATGAAAGGCAAGGACTTTAGCTTGCTATCATTAGGCTATCATGCCAGGCCCTTTCTATTTTTTCAATATTTTTTGTTGGAAACGCAAGTGGAGCAGCCGGGACATGAACCAGCACCCATATGGGATCCCAGAGCTTGCAAGGGGAGGATTAGCCAGATTGAGCCATTGCACTGGGCCCCAAAAGTATTTTCAAATATAGAATCAGACAATTTAACTTTGAAACAATTTAGTTCATTTGAAAGTCAGATTGAGGGAGAAGAAGAGTGAAATCTTGTAACTGGTAGCTCACTCCCCAAACAGCCACAACTGCTGGAGCTGAGCTGGCCCAAAGCCGGAAGCCAGGTGCTTCTTCCAAGTCTCCCACATGGGTGCAGGTGCCCAAGGACCTGGCCATTTTCCACTGCTTTCCCAGTTTCTCAAACAGTGTCCGTAAGGGATGCAGGTGGTGGCTTTACTATATCACAATGCCAGTTCTACTTTAACTTTTTTTTTCTTTCTTTTTTTTTTTTAAGATTTATTTATTTATTGAAAGTCAGCTATACAGAGAGGAGGAGTGACAGAGAGGAAGATCTTCCGTCCGATGATTCACTCCCCAAGTGACTGCAATGGCCAATGCTATACCGATCCAAAGCCAGGAGCCAGGAACTTCCTACAGGTCTCCCACACATGGGTGCAGGGTCCCAAGGCTTTGGACTCTCCTCGACTGCTTTCCCAGGCCACAAGCAGGGAGCTGGATTGTAAGTGGAGCTGCTGGGATTAGAACTGGCGCCCATATGGGACCCTAGCGCGTTCAAGGCGAGGACTTTCGCCGCTAGGCCCCACTTTAACTTTCTTAATCATAAGAGAAATCATACCAGCTAGGACAGAACTTTGTTTCATAGGTTATACAAGTTCCAAGTTTGAACTTTAGTGAGACTACTTGGCAGCAAATGAAAGGTGATTTCTAAAAATGTACACGAAAGTTCAAAGGCATCCTTTACTATAAAAATATTTTCAATGATATGAGCACTTACATTATCAGTGCAAAGTTTAATTTCTAAACACTGATATATGATCAAAAAGCTGTGAAGAAATAAACACTGCAACTGCTGGCGTCGCCTCCATCTCATTTCAGAGTACCTACTTGAGTCCTGGCTGCTCCGCTTCACAACCAGCTTCTTGTAAACGTGCCTACAAAGGTAGAAGATGGCTCAGTACTTGGTTCCTGCCCCATGCGGGACACTGCGATGGAAATCCTGGCTCCTGGGTTTAGCCCCAGCTGTTGCGCACATTTGAAAACCAAACCAGCAGACAGAAGATTTGTATTTCTCTGTCATTTTGTCTTTTTCAAATGAGGAGGTATAAATCTCTAAAGAGGCTGATACATAGGGAAGGTAAAACAAAGTAATTAAAAGTACCAACAAATGCATTAACTGTAATTCTGCAAAATTCTTAGTTCTCAAAGATAACATCTAGGTAAAGTCTCCTGTTTTTTAGTTTATTGATGAGAGTTTAACTCAAATAACTATTACCATTTCTGAGCCCTTGTTATATGCAAGGCAGGCATGGGACTAGGCACCAACAACCCCACATGGCAAGTGCTATTCTTAGCCCCATTTGCAGATGTGGAAATGGAGACGCCCAGTGTACACACAAAGCAGAATTCAGGGAGTCTGCCTCCTAAGACTGTGCTACTGACTGCTGCCAGAAGATAGTTCCTCATCAAAAACTCCTTACACTGGCACTAAAAATAGCAAAAGTATTAATAAAGCCATTTTTTAAATTTTTAAAAATTGCAGGTCAGGTAGGTACTCCTTTATACTAAGTGGAAGTGTTTGAAGTTATGACACATTGATTCATTTAATGTAATTTCATTTTAGCTTTTCTTCTAAAACTTTTAAGACAAGGCCTGACACAATGACCTGGTGGCTGGATCCTCACTTTGTGGTTGTCAGGATCCCATATGGGAACCAATTCATGCCCTGTCGGCCCTGCTTCCCATCAGGCTCCCTGCTAGTGTCCTGGGAGAGTACTGGAGGATGTTCTAAAGCCTTGGGACCCTGCAACCATGTGAGAGATCTGGGAAAGGCTCCTGGCTCCAGATCAGCTCAGCTCCGGCCGTGGTAGCCTCTTGGCGAGTGAGCCAGTGGACAGAGGATCTTTCTCTATGTCTCTCCTTCTCTAAATAAATCTGCCTTTCCAGTGGAAGTGAATTAAAAAAAAGTTTAAAACAAAGCATGACTTTAAAAAACAAAGTATCTGTGATTTCCCTTTAAAAAAATTAATTTTTAAAAGAGAAATCAGAAACAGACAAAAATGATCCATCAGCAGGTGCCTGCACTATGACCACCGCCTCTCGAGGCACACATCACTTAGCAGGAAGATGGATTAGGAGAACAGGGACTCAAACCACGGCCCTAGGATATGAAACTTGGGCATCCCAAGAGGCATCATAACTGCATGTCAAATCCCCTGCTAGTAATGTCTCCCCATTGAGCTCTCAGAGCTTTTCCCATGCACCTCTACAACGCATTTACTACCTCGTGATCAAAGACAACATATAGCAGCCAAAGAGTCAATGTAATGACGGAGTTTCCGGCCCTCCATTCTGTGTTCATGTATCACTTCCCCAAATAGCAGACAGCATGGGAGCTCCAGAAGAAGCTCCTGGCTTTGGACTGGCTCAGTTTCAGCCACTGTGGTCATTTGGGGAGTTAACCAACACCTGGAAGATCTTTCATTTTTTTCTTCTCTCTGTAAATCTGCTTCTCATATAAAAATAAATATAAATCTTTAGAAATAAATAAATAAAGACTCTGCTACGGGGCCCAGTGTGGTGGCTTAGTGGCTAGGGTCCTTGCATTGAATGTGCCAGCATCCCATATGGGCCAGTTCTAATCCCGGCAGCTCCACTTCCCATCCAGCTCCCTGCTTGTGGCCTGGGAAAGCAGTTGAGGATAGCCCAAAGCTTTGGGACCCTGCATCCATGTGTGGGAGACCTGTAGGAAGTTCCTGGCTCCTGGCTTCGGACTGGCTCAGCTCCACCCATTGTGGCCACTTGGGGAGTGAACCATTGGACAGAAGATCTTCCTCTCTGTATATCCGACTTTGCAATAAAAATAAAAATCTTAAAAAAAAAAAAATAAAAGACTCTGCGCTTTAACAGAGGAGTCAACAAAACAGTTTCAAGGGGTTCTGAGAGCAGAGTGTGAAGGGGAATAGAGGGTAGAGAGGTGCTACTCCCATTTGTCTCTACCTCCCGTGGAAGCACTCAAGAAAATTCCCACTAGCAATGTACTTAACCATGGTTTCTGATCCTCTGAGTTTCTAGCAGCAAGCAAAGTGCAACTGCCGACGCTCAAACTTGTCCCTTTCAACCTTAGTGCTGGAGAGACTTCAGTATATGATGGGAAACCTGGTCAAGGGAGAGCAGTGCCACAGGTAGAAGCGAGCTCCACTCCTGAGAGACATTTTCAACAGAGTAATCCACTTTAAAATCACTCACCTGTTTTGATACTGGTGTCCACACTGGGCACATGTAAAGTCCCAGGAAAAAGAATATGTGAAGAGCTTTTCAATGTCAGGCTCTAGTTTTAAGAGCAGGGGAAATGCAAATACAGGGCTTTCCATGTCACCTTCAATAAAGACAGAAAAATCATTGATCATAAATAGCAAGTATAAAAAGCAAACAAATACTGAGCTGTTGTCTTTTCACCACAGAGTACCACAGAATGAAGCCATCGTAACTGGGTGGGGCGCATATATGAAATCCCTGCAAAAATGCCCAGCATGATTTGATCATCACCTAGACCAGTTCATTTTTTTCTTGATGTACATTGATGAAAACCTTCTAGAATAAAAAGTACAAGAGACCCATACCATCTTCTCAGATCTCTCTAGCTTTCCTCAGGGGGTAGAAAAATTGTCAGAACAATAAAAGCTCTAGCATTTATTAAAATGAAAGTTGCATAACACCAGTTGACTACAGACACTAACAAAATATAACCAGCGAAAACGCTAAGACAGTATCAGAATTGCAACAAGTCTTTACAACAATTTCTATTCCAATTCTCTCCTTTTACACGTGGCAAAGTCATGGCACACTGGGTTACAGGACCGGCCTCACTTGCCGGCCTCTTCATCAGCCACTCAACCTTTCCAGCTATTCTCTTCCTGTAACAACAATTAAACTACCACAAACTATAAGCCTAAAGATCTGAATTTTCTTTGTTGTCATTGAAGCAAAAATGTGAAATGCTGGCTTGCAGCTTTGAGATCAGCAAGCGGGGTAAATGAGAAGATGGATAGTCTCCCATTCCTTCTCCTGTTGGTCTCCTCTCTTTTCTGTCCTCAGCGTGGCTGAGCTGCAGCCTTCCTGGGCTGGCCCTCAAAGTCCATCCTTCCATTCTGCCTGCCATCCTCCCCCCACCTTTCAGGACAGCAGATTTACTTTCATGGTCCAGGTTTTCTCATCAGTCTTGAACTATCACTCCCAGAGTATGGCCCAAACAAAGCAGACAGGAGGTATGACTGCCTAAGTATTCACTGTAAATATCTGTAGTTATAACAGCCAGTCACCTTTATAAATACAGACCCATGGCTATTTTTGTACAAAAACATAAAAACCATACAAAATATTTTGTATAAACAGAAACAGAACCCATCTCCTAGAAATGAAAATGTGCAACACCATATGCATAGAAGGCACGCAGCATAGCATGAGTTTGTAATTAGTCATCATCTTTAAACGCTTACTCTATTGCAACTAAATATTGAAAAAACAAACCATCTACAATTTGTACAACAAATTCTTTAGGTAGGAAATAAAATTCTCAATGAATAAATATAAAAAACCACATTGCTAATTGGGTCACATAGTTATAAGTCACTTTAGGTTATTTATATAGCTCCTACATTGGACAGCTTTTCCCTTGATTACAAATTTTATGGACACTAAGCATAAGGCATCTTGCTACAGAACATAAACTAATTTCAACCTTTGTAGCTTTCTTCCTAAGTAAATATGTTTTTGCTTCTCCCAATCTAGTTCGTGCATTTTCTTAAAATACCATTGACAGAATGCAAAGCTTTGGTGACTCTTCAACTAGCTTTGTGGTTTTCTTGTCAATTATTCATTAATATCTTCAAGCCACTTTTCCAGCAGGTTTTATTTGTAAGCTCTTTCTAACATATTCTGAATATTCTATCTTAGCCCACAGGCTTTAAACTTGAATATAATATTTACCAATTTTTTCTTCACCTTTCTTAAGGCAAGTAAAATAACTAGTTTAACATTAAGTTAGACTATTGCTCACATTCACTCCCAAAGTTTCACAACTCTGCCTTTTACACTAAAGTCTTTAAATATATATATATTTATAAGTCTTTATATATGTAAGAAAAAACCATAGTAATACTGGGTCTTGCTTTATCCCCCCTTTTGAAAAAACATACACTTTGGGGAAAAAAAAATAAATATCAAATTGAAGACAACAGTTACCTTTGTGGAGGTAAGGAGGAATTACAGCTGAGCACAAAAGGAGCTTCAGAGGAGTTGTATTTGTAACGTGTTTCTTAAAATTGCAGGGTGGGCAAGCAAAGACAATAGTGTGTAGTTTGTAAGATTTACTGACTTGTTTAAAAAGGCAGAGTCACCCAGAAACAGAGAAGGAGACATAGTTAGATCTACCACCTGCTGGCTCACTTCCCCAGGTCTGGGCCATCATCCCCTGCCACAAGGGGCATTAGCAGGAAGCTGGACTGGAAGTGGGGCAGCCTGGACCTAGCAGGGGCACTCCAATCTGGGATGCGGATGCCAAAAGCAGGAGCCTAACCTATCGCACCACAACACCGGTCCCTACAATGACAATCAAGATGATAAATAACATGATTTGAAAAGCTCAGTCAACATTCAGGGTCTGTTCAGAGACTACTTTTTTGTTAGTATTTTCAAACAAATGTTAATATCTAAAATAACAATGCACAGATGCTAAGATTTTAAAGTGTTCTCTGAAGATTTCATTAGTCTTGGGTTCCATATCATACCTATCACTGCTGAAGGAGTACAAACCAGAGAGGAATCCTACTGTATTCAAAGAGTTGTATCATTTGCACAAGTTTCAATTATACTGATCATAACTTAAGAATACCTCATGCACTACATAGAACACCAGTCCCAAGGCAGAAGTGCAGCAACAGACGCAATCTTATTCCAAATATAACTACCATGCATAAGAGCACGATTCAGATTAGGAGAGAAATCACTAATTCATCCTCAGCTAACTGCACTCAATGAACCTGTTCTCATTCTAGAAATATGACAGAAAATTTTGGTGCCTTTAGGTGTCTTTGGGATCTGGCACGTGGCATAGCAAATTAAGCCACCACCTGCAACACCAGCACTGCACAGAGAATTAGCTTGAACCCTGCTGCTCCGCCACCCATTCAGCTTCCTGTAACGTGCCTGGAAAGCAGCAGAGGATGGCCCAAGGGTTTGGGCAGGTACATCCACGCGGGAGACCCAGAAGAAGCTCCTGGCTTCAGCCTGGCTAAGCCCTGTCTAATGCAGCCATTTGTAGAGTATGCCAGAGGATCAAAGACCCCTATGTGTGTCTCTCCCACTAACTGACTTTCAAATAAAATAAAAATCAACCTTTCATAAAAAGAAACAATCTGCATGTCAAGATGCACACGGACATGACAGATGATTGAGGCCTGCAGAGAACATCTAGTACCATGGAGGGCACAACAAAGTGGACAGCTCTCCTGGTCAAGCTTTGACAGCAGGTATGTGGGCGAGTGGAAACTCTAGGGTGGACTGCGTCAGCCAATGGACCTTGGAAGGATTTCTCGGCCTTGGAGCAAAGAAATCAACAGCACCTCAGAACTACTGAAACTCAGGCTGTTGGAGCATGTTTCACATCGGTGACCCTAGGATGACACTGAGTGGCCGTCCCACCTCCCCAGGCCCTAGGCTAGGCTGCTGGGAGCATTCCTCTTCCCTTCTCTTCCTTCTTCCCCCAGACAGAGGAAGAAAAAAATTGGAAATGATTGCCTCATTCACTTTCCCCCACTCCTCAAACCTTCCCAACCTTATGTAAATATCAGCACAAACAAAATTTCTAAAACAATTTTTAGGTAAAAAATAAATTGAAAGAATCAATAATTCTCACTGCATCACAGATCCTACCCGATGATAAACTGAAATTGAAACAGTCCTTTGACCTAGAGGAGGCAATGCCAGAAATCTAGCATATGAAAATAAGCTTATTATTACTGTATAACACAGTAGCTTACATATGCAGGAGTGGATGAAAAACAAACTAAAGATAAAGAAGTGCATTAAGAGCTGGCTAACAACACAGACCCTGCTTCCAACTCCAAGCACAGTATTTGAGCCTGATAAATGTCACTAGGTGAGAGCAGAACTGGAAGGCATTAATATCTCATCAAATTCAACATGCTACTATCATGTAGCATTAGTATTAATCATAAATATGAAGACAGAAGAGAAATAAGACAAAAAGGTATTATCAAAAACAAGTCACCTTTTTCTAACGCTGAAAAAAAAAGTTTAGAAAACCTAGATGGAGACTAATTCCCAGCACTTTTCACAGGCTAGAACTCACTTAAAGAAGAAAAAAATAAGGGTGAGAAAGCATCCCAAAAGGTCATCAGTGTACTTCCAATACCACTGGTAGGAGAAGTGGCATGTCTATGGTTGGTTTAGATCAAGATGACCAACTGCACCCACACACAGAACACATGTGGGAGTTTCCCCAAATCACCGATTACCGCAGTCTCATTTGAGACTCTGACTTAACCTGCTATAAGCCTCTAGCATTGCTATTTATTTTAAAATTCCCTAAGTGCTTCTTAACGCAGAGTATTAAAGAAGCACTCATTGGTGAGACCCTAAGTACTGTCTGGGTTCTAAGAAACGCATCTCCTCCCAACAGACACCGGCTGCGTGTGGATGTGGATGAGCTCCACCCAGCAGTGACTTAACCAGCCAGAGTCCTAGGCCAACCGACTCAGATCCTCTGCCCCTACAATGTGACCATCCCAAGTAACAAAGCAGTATATTAAGATGCATACCTGTCATTTACACCATCACTTACCTAATGTGCATTTAAGCAGAGGCTGCAGTCTACTAAATATTTGATTTCTGACTTCATTCAGACAGGTCTCAATCTGTGCAAGTCTTTCAGAAGGAAGCTTTTTATAATCTCCACCTAAAATATACAGATCATCATCAGTTTCTTGTCAATGTGTCTCTCCATGGAAAAATAATGACGCAAACAAAAAGTCATCTCAGTTAATAACTTCTGCAAATGTAGCCAAAAAACAACACAACATTTCCTTAATCCTCCTCTATCATAGATCTCTGTAATAACTATCACCAGTGCAACATCACTGGCTCACACAGCCCAGGCAAGTCTGAGTGAAGGTTGTTCTCATCCAGATAACTACAGGCCTACAATACAGGTTGAACATTCATTACCCAAAATGTTGGGAACCATTAATGTTTGATTTCAGGTTTTATTTTTCTCAAATGTTAAAACATTTGTAAATACAGGGCCTGGGCCTAGCAGCTAAAGTCCTCGCCTTGCACATGCCAGGATCCCATATGGGTACCACTTCTAATCCAGGCAGCCCCACTTCCCATCCAGCTCCCCGCTTGTGGTCGGGGAAAAGCAGTCAAGGATGGCTCAAAACCTTGGGACCCTGCATCTGCATGGGAGACCCAGAAGAGGCTCCTGGTTTTGGACTGGCACAGCTCCAGCCACTGCGACTGCTTGGGGAGTGAACCAGTGGACGGAAGATCTCCTCTCTGCTTCTCTCCATAAATCTGACTTCCCAGTAAAAATTTAAAAAATTTTCTTTTAAATATTTGTACATACAAAATGAGATGTCATTAGGTAGAACCCAAGTCTAAAGTGTAAACACAAGTCTAACATACCCTGAATGTAATTTTACACAATATTTCTAGTACTAGTAAATTTCCACTTATGGTATCATGTAGCACTCAAAACGTTTTCAATTATGGAGAGCTTAGAATTACAATTCTCAGACTATGGATGTTCAACCTGGAGATAGCCATCCGATATATCATTTAAATCTAACACAGAAAAGTTCTGTTTCTTTTTAACTGAATAGAGAGAGAGCAAGCAAGAATGAGTGAGTATACACATTCCCACACCAGCCCAGCTCCTGTAACTCAGGAGCTGTAACAGTCTGGGCTTCCCATGTGGGTGGCAGAAAACCTACATCCCCAAGCCACCACACGCTGTTTTCCAAGATGTATATTAGCAGGAAGCTCAAGTCAGGAGCCAGAGATGGGACTTAAATCTAGGCACTTTTTTCCCTTCATTTTTACTAAAAAGAGAGACATGGAGAGGGAAGAAGAAAAGAACAGAGAAATTATTAGATCTTCCATATGTTGGCAATGATAGACAGCGGAACCAGACTACAATGATGAGCCTGGATGAAACCTCAGTTTCCCATCTGGGCGGCGAGGACTAAAATACCTGAGCTATCATCAGTTGCTTTCCCACGAACATTAGCAGGAAGCTGGATGGGGAAACAAAGCAGCCAGGACCTGAACCAGCACTCTGATCTGGAATGTCTGCATGGCTAACCCTGTTGCACCACAAAACCATCCCCACAAGCGGCGTGTGAACTGCTAAACCACCGGCTCACTCCGAAAGGCAGCTAAATGGTCACCCTCGAGGTCAACTCTGGGCAATTACCAAGCATGCTAGAAACCACATCTCATCCCATATTCAACTCTGTACATTTTTTACTGATATTTATAAGTCTGGTAATGTTTCATTTCCCAAATTAATAGTGTGTTCCTCCCATGTCCTTTTGAGGGGTAGTGGAAGGGCTTTCAGCAACATCATGGTGTTTATACAATTAAGATTTTCCTTCATTAAAGACTTTGGTAGCTAGGTATTACTGTGACTGACACATATCCCCAATTATTCTGTTTGCCAGATATGTTCTTTTTATTACAAATAATACAGCAATAAACACCTGTGAGCACATATATGCACATGTTTCTGATTCTTTCATTAGGGCAGAAGTACTCAAAATGGAACTACTGTAACAATAAATTACTAAGGATAAGCCAATAATTTTGTAGGAAAGCCTCCATATGCATTTGACTCCATTTACTCAAACAGATATAGAGAGAGCATTTCACTAAATCTCTCACAAATGATTCATTCATAATTGAATGAGTTGGTGTTTTCACATAGTGGTTAAGTTACCACTTAGGATGCCCTTCCACATCCTCTTCTATCAAGTGCCTGGATTTAGGCGTCCCACCTGCTTACACTCCAGCTCTCTAATGCATTCCTGGGAGGCAGTAGGCGTTGGCTCAAGTACCTGGGTCCTGGCCACACAGCTGGGAGACCATGCCTGAGTTCCAGGCCCCTAGTTTCAATCTAATCCAGGCATGGCTTTTAAGGAACTTGGGGAATGAAGCAGCAGATAGAAAATCAGCTTCTCTGCCTTTCAAATTACACAGATATCTGTGACAACACCCTGAGTGTTTCCCTATTGAACACATCTAGATTCCCAGGTAGAGAAAGCAACCACACAGTTCTTGCTACTTAACCACAGCAAAATAAAAAACGGGAGACCCAGTGTGATGGCTTGGTGGCTAAATCCTCATCTTGCAAGCACTGGGATCCCATATGAGCACCGGCTCACGTCCTATCTTCTCCACTTTCAATCTAGCTCTCTGCTTGTGGCCTGGAAAAGCAGCAGAGGATGGCTCAAAGCCTTAGGACCAGGCACCTGCATGGGACACCTAAAAGAAGCCCTGGCTCCTAGCTTTGGATTGGTTCAGCTCCAGCTGTTGCGGCCACTTGGGGAATGAACTAGAGGACAAAAGATTTCTCTATTTCCCATTCTCTGCAAATCTACTGTTCAATAAAATAAATATAAAAACACTGTAAAGTAATATACCTCAAATACAATTAGCCAAATTACAAAAGCTACAATTATTCTGTAAAAGGTTAATATTAGGATAAAAACAGAACAAATTTCAGTAATACTGAATTGTTGCTCTTTCTTTTTTTAAAGATTTTATTTATTTTTATTTGAAAGGCAGATATATAGAGAGGAGAGAGACAGAGAGAAAGATCTTCCATCCGATGATTCACTCCCCAAGTGGCTGCAATGGCTGGTACTGCGCTGATCCAAAGCCAGGAGCCAGGAGCTCTTCCAGGTCTCCCATGTGGGTGCACGGTTCCAAGGCTATGGGCCATCCTCGATTGCTTTCCCAGGCCACAAGCAGGGAGCTGGATGGGAAGTGGAGCTGCCGGGATTAGAACCAGCATCCAAATGGGATCCCGGCGCTTGCAAGGTGAGAACCTGAACTACTACGCTATCATGCTGGGCCCTAAATGGTTGCTCTTGATCAACCCTCAAACAGTACTGCAATTCCTTTATGAGAACTGTAATTATTTCTAGAAAACACATTTATAAGATACAATGAATGCAAAAATGCTGGTAAGAAACTAAAATATAAGTTGCAAAATATCATGAAAGACACAAAATTTAGTATCAAAATTCAAAATACTTTCTCTAACAAAATCTTTTAAAATATTTACAGTTAAAGGTATTAAGTATTCTACATAATATAAGTAAAAAAACTAAATGTTAATTCAATTTGCCTACAAAGCCAATTGGTAATACATTTTTTTTTAAAAGATTTATTTTTTTTTCTTTTTTCTTTTTTTTTTTTTTAAAGATTTATTTTTATTATTTTTTTATTGGAAAGGCAGATATACAGAGAGGAGAGACAGAGGAAGATCTTCCGTCCGATGATTCACTCCCCAAGTGAGTGCAACGGTGGATGCCGTGCCGATCTGAAGCCAGGAGCCTCTTCCGGGTCTCCCATGCGGGTGCAGGGTCCCAAAGCTTTGGGCCGTCCTCGACTGCTTTCCTGGGCCACAGGCAGGGAGCTGGATGGGAAGTGGGACTGCTGGGATTAGAATTGGTGCCCATATGGGATCCCGGGGGTACAAGGCGAGGACCTTAACCACTGCGCCACCACGCTGGGCCCAATTGGTAGTACTCTTAAGCATCATATTTAAATGTCCTTCTAGGCTTTAATCAGCAACAAATTCAAAAGGTGTGAGAATGTTCATATAATAGCGAACCAATGGTCAATTGTGTGCAAGCAGCATACAGTATCCATGTAAAAGATAACACACCCAATACAGGGGCTTTTTAATATTGATGAAGAAAATGGCTACAATGGCAGAAGAAAGCTCAGTTTGATGTCAATTCTGTCAGAAACAAATATATGAAAATTTAAGTTGAGAAAAAAAACCAAAATATTTAAAAAATTTAATAAAGTGAGGATTCTTTCCTACCAGACAGGAAGATTTATAAAGCTGTGATAATTAAAGTAAGATGGACACAGGGACTACACAGCCACCAAGAGAACACAACTCAGAGTTAGGAGTCAGCCACACACACATACACAACACTAACATAAGAACCAGGTGGCACAGCAGAAACTGGCCAAAAGAACAGCAGCAGAAAAATGGCTTATGCAAATATGAAAATTACTGAATCTATCTCGCACCTTTAACAATATCATTCCAGCTCAATCAAAAATTCCAATTTCAACATGAGAAGGAAAACTTTATGGTTCTGGAATACATACATGCATATGAGAATGATCTTCTGACCCTGGCAAAAGAAAAAAACTCTTCTAAAGATCTACAGGAATTACTAACTCCAGAAAGAAAGGCAAGAACACAAGTCACAAATTCACAGAAGATTCAGCAACAAGGACACACAAAACTCCACATATAAATCAGTAAGCACAGAATGACTCACAGAGCAAACAGGGACAAGACACAAGCAGGCGTTTCATGGGACAGGGAATACGGATTGTCAAAATTCACATGAAGTGTTGAGCAGCCACTTCAAAATCTAAGAAAGGAAGATCAGGATCACAGACTATTTCATTCTACTCAAAAAGCAAAAATCTCAAAGTACAAAAATAACACAGAGGGGCTATGTGAAGGTATCCTACACAGTGCCAATGGGAATACTGACTGGTACAACCACTTCAAAAACCCACTGCCATTGTCCCATAAATCTGAACTCAGAGCCTACAACTGGGAACATCTGTTCCTTATTCCTTGTATTTATCAAGGAAACTTGCACATGTCCCATTAGATTTGCTCAAGAATAATCACAGCAGTATGTATACCAGCAAAAAAGAATCCATCTATTAACAGATAAATACATTAATAGATTCACAAAATGGAAATATTACAATGCAACGGAAGTCAATGACCCTCAACTACAATCTACTTCACAGATCCAGCTATGCGTAAAGAGAACATGAGTTTTTCGTACTGCCGTGAAGATGCTTCTTAAGCCAAGGCACTCCACGTTAGAGTGCCTGGTTTCAGTTCAGCTAAGATTCTAGCTTCCTCATGTGCCCCCTGGGAGGCTGCAGGAGATGGCTCAAGTATCTGAGTTCCTGCCACCCAAAGGGGAGACACAAGTTGAATTCCGTAGGATCCTGTCCTTCAGCCAAACCCAGGCCCAGCTGATGTGGGCATTGGGAGTGAATTAGACAATGGAAGCTTTCAAACCAAAGGGGGGGAGGGGGGAAAGAGGAAAAAAAAAGGGTCTCAGATGACATTCTGAACACCATTTTTTATTGATTAAATAGGCTCTGGTTCCCAGACCTAGCGTTAGCAATTAACAAAGTAATGCTAGTGATTGACAGTTTAGGGTGAAGGCTTGGTCTTTGGGAAGCAACTAGAGTAGATAAGGCTGCCACAATGGCTCTGGGGACACCGGGCTCCCTGTGCCTCTGTGCCTTCTGGCTCATCCAGTGACCCTCCACCAGCTGTCAGCTTCATGGGCTGTACAACACTGCCTTGTCAATCTCAGAGCTGTGAGCCAAAACAAACTTGCTCCTCCCCAAGAAGTTCAAGAATTTTTTAAAAATGAAAAGTTATTATATCGTCTAATAAAGCTCAAGACCAAGTAAATTAGGCAATATAGTTTTGCTGGACACAAGTTAAAAAAAAGCAGGAGTGATACATTCCACAACAGTGATCGCCTTTAAGTGAAGGCAGAGGATGGGACTGCAGTAACAAGCAGATTCTTGGGCTGGCATGTGGGTTCATGAGCAATGTATTTTATGGAAAATAAAACAAAAAGATATATCCCTCATTGTAAGGAAATTTTGGAGAGTGTGGGAATATGGGCAATATTTATTCACTTTAACTTTTCAGCCGATTTTTAAAAAAGATTTATTCTATTATTTATAAGGCAAAATGACAAAGAGGGCAGGGGAGAGATCTTCACTTCGTTAAATAGCCACAGTGGTCAGATCTAAGCCAGGAGCCTGGAATTCTACCCAGATCTCCTATCCAAGTGTCAGGGGCTGAAATCCTTGGGCCATCTTCTGCTTTCCTAGCACATTAACAGTAAACTGGATGGGAAATGGAGCAAATGGGATTCAAACTGGTGCTCTGAGATGCCAACATCCCAGATGGCAGCTTAACCCACTGTGCTGCACTCTCAGCACATTTCAAAGTGCTGAGTTTCAAAGTGCTTAAGTTTTAAACTTAAGACTTTACTTTGATATACTCACTGACCCTATTACCTTGCCATCCAACTGTGTGACAATAAACCACAGTGACAATAAATCACCTCCGCTTGCATTCCCCCTCTCCTTCAGGACAGGGACCACCTGACAGTTCACCTAGACAACTAACTATGATCACGTCAAGAGCTGTCACAAGTCTATCTGAGAACACCTGAGGGGCTGGCTCCAAAAGCACACATAATGTTGTGAATCAAGACCCTGCCCATCTCCGCCCCCCCCCCCGAAACCTGTGCCCTATTTGTAACCTTGGCAGAAAACATCTTGTAGCTTTTGACCAAATCAACTGTTTCTATCAATCGGGGATCCTGTATCTCAGTTACTTGAATTAAGCCCTTTATTCTTTTGTTCTTTCTAAAGGTTTGATTTTCTGAAAGTTATAGAGGGTTGGACAGAGACACATCTTCCATCCTCTGGCTCAATTCCTAGATGGCCATAAGACAGGGGCTAGGCCAAACAAAAGCCAGGAGTTCTTCCCCAGGTTTTCCAAACAGTCGGGCTATTTTCCACTGCTTTTTCTAGGCCATTATTAGCAGGGAGCCAGACCAGAAGTGAAGCAGCCGGGACTCGAACCACTGGCCTAATGGGATGCTGGAGTCCCAGATGGAGGCAGTGGCAGCTTTACCCGCTTGCCATAACTGTGGCCCCACACTTTATTCTTAGATGGAGCGTCCTTCTTTGACCTTGGGTTTTTCTCAGATTAACAAGGTAATACATGAACAGCTGACACTCAGACACTAAGACCCAATCCCAGTCTTTCCCCTTTCTAGTGGAGAGTGTGTTGTGGATATTCATAATAAATCTGGTATTATCTCAAGCTGCATGACGCAATCCCTGACCGCTACCATCTTTTCTAGATACTGAGAGAAACTCAACATCTTTAAAAGTTAAACAGAAATAACACATTGTGGTACCAACCTTTAAGTCCATCCAACTGAGTGTCATACAGAAGCTTATTTGCTTGATTATATTTTGTAAACAAATGCCAGAAAACAGAATCCTCCTTAGGACATAGTTCAGTCACAGCATTCTTTAATCCTTCCAAGTGCACCAAGGCTGAAAGGATACAGTCCAACCAGCAGAGAGCATGAGCATTTTTCCACTGGACATACAAAGTCCGGCCAAATGATACACCCTCGCTTTCTAATGGCATTTCCAGTGGAGATGTGCCGCCTTCATTCTGAGGGGAAGTTTGCCCACTTGCAGAGACATCAACTGTGGCAGGCTCTTCAACAGCCATGCCAACACTCCCAGCTTGCAGAATCTCATTCTGCGCCAAGGAATGAGCTGTCCCAACTGGATGCTGACGAGTACTGTCCCCAGAACACTGTGGTGAGGCTTCATCACACAGTTCTCTGTTAGGTCTGCTGTCCAATGTCTGTCCATCATCAACAATATGATGTCTAGTCTTTTTGGAATCTGCTAGAACAGGTGAATCGGTACAGCTGGTCTCCAAGAGCTTTCTTTTGTGAACCTTATTTGGAGTGTGACAACCTTCTGAATCCGGGGAAATTAAATTATTAAGTGATCTGGAGCCTAAAGGATAGATGCACTAGAAAGAAAAAGTAAAATGATTAAAAAAAGGGAAAAATCCAAAGAAGCTCAAGTTTACAATTTCTGTCATCACAATTTTAGCACCAATTTGGCATGAGAAGACATATTAACTGAGATCTGAAGAAACTAAATAAAGCTATTAAAAACTTTGCCCTCTCAAGAATAATTACTCTTAGAAAATCTAAACAATCAGAATTGTGATCTAGCACAAACAGGAAAATACTCAGAAATCTGAAATAAATTTTAAAATAAAAAATATAAAAAACATTATATGATGAGTGTTATGCTTTGGGAACAAACACACTGTACAATTTTAAGAAATTCTTCACTTTAAAAAAAAAATTTAAACTCATCAAGTAATTCCTATACTTCTTAAATTGTAACACTGAGTATTATTCTACCTGATCATACTGTCACTGTCACTTGTTTCCTTACTGCTTTATGTCAAACTGGCTGACCTTTAATGATCTCCTCAAATCCCACTGCATATTAATATAATTTCAGCCAAATATAAAAAAATATAAATCACTAGAAAGAATGAATTTACCCCTAAGATTGAAAAGTATCACAATATGTGCCGTCACTTAAAATATGCCTGCTTTTATATAACCACGGTGAACCGGTGAACCACTACCTTGGTGGCCGCCAGGGAACACAGAGCCGTTTCTCCTGAGTAATTCGTGCCTGCAGTCAGCCCTCTAGCACACACGACTAGCTCTGAGGAGACTTTAGCAAGCACTGGGGCTCTGGCTTTGTCCTCTTGGAGCCCTCCTTTGGGAGCCTTCCTTAGTACCAACCATCACAACATGAGGAGGCAAATTAGATTTATGAATGACCCTCATGGGAAAGAACTGAGACTCTGGCTGACTGCCTGAGTGGAAAACCCAGCCAGCCTACACCATCTCCCCTTCACGCAGACATTTCAGATGTTCCAGCCAAAGTGGTAGAAAACAACACATTGCCAAGTCAACCCATAACATCTTGAGAAATAATAAGTGAAGCTGCGATATTAGTTATACAACTAAGTTTTGAAGTGATTTGCTTTCGTGATCAACTCTGAATGACAGCGGACGGGTAATTCTCCACACACAAGTAGCACTCCAGTGCACACCAACTGGAAGGCTAATTCAATTCATTTCTGATGCTATCAACCTGGACCAGTGTTAGACCCCAGAACACATACTTCAGAAGCCAATAACAAGTATCAGCCACTTATACTTCAACCAACTAGCTGCAAACTGGCCTTCTGATGATGCCTTCTTGGGTTCTACATGTATTAACTTGCCAGGATGGCTCACAGAATTCAAGCAAACATCTGTTACTGGCTTAGTCTACAGCATACTGTAAAGCAAGGAAGGGGAATCTTTTCACCGAGTCATACACTTATTTATAATTTTATTCATGATCGATACAAAATTACCAACTTGAAAATTAGCCTCCCACAGATCTATTGAATTTCAAGTGCTACACACAGGTTGTCTTGGAAGGATCCAATAATGTTACATCTTGGACTTTCCTACTAGTTACGAAAGACAGAAATGACAAGATATACAAGAGAAGACTAGGGTCAGTGACATGATGCTTCCATGCCTGCTGGATAAACCTCTCCCCAACACCTCTAGCAGCCTATTAACTCACCAAATGTTCAAGTTTTTAAGACGCTTTCAAAAACTTCTCAGGAGTGTCAGTACTGTACACATGCAATTCTGATATCCCATATTGGAGTACTAGTATGACTCCTGGCTGCTCCACTTTTAACTGGGAAGACAGTGGAAAACAGCCCAAATGCTCGAACCCGTGCCATCCGTGTGTTAGTTCAGGCTAGATTTGGGTTCCTGGCATAGGCCTGAGCCAATCCTAGCTGTTACATCCATTCAGAGTGAACTGGTGGATGGAGGATGGATCCATTTCTCTCTTCCCCCACCGCCAAGCCTCTCACTCTTTGCTTTTCAAAAAATTAAACCTAAAAAATTTTCTTAAATAAATTATTTCTAACTCCCAGATGATCTGGCACAGTTGGCCCAAAATGATCAGTTTGAAAAATAAAACACAGTTGGTATTAGATTATAGAAGGACACTGTGACCCTAGAAGGTCAGGGAGCACAGGATTACAACTGACTGGATAATATTTGTATGGGAACAACTGAATGGATGCCATTTGTATGACTGATTGGATAGCCTTTGCATTAGAACAAATGAATGGATATTTTTCGTATAACCGATTGGCTATCATTTGTATGAGAACACTGAGTGGGGGCCATGCATATACCTAAATGGATACCATGTGTATGAGAACACTGGTGGAATATATAAAACAAAAGGAGTTCCAAACAAAGTATAGGGCCCAGCGGCATGGCCTAGCAGCTAAAGTCCTCGCCTTGAATGCGCTGGGAGCCTATATGGGCACCGGTTCTAATCCCGGCAGCTCCACTTCCCATCCAGCTCCCTAATTGCGGCCTGGGGAAACAGTAGAGTTTGGCCCAAAGCCTTGGGACCCTGCACCCACATGGGAGATGCGGAAGAAGTTCCTGGCTCCTGGCTTTGGATTGGCATAGTATCGCCCGTTGCACTCACTTGGGGAGTGAATCATCAAGCGGAAGATCTTCCTCTCTGTCTCTCCTCCTCTCTGTATATCTGACTTTCCAACAAATAAATAAATCTTAAAAAAAAAAGTATAGAAACAGTTGATGAGTTTTGTTGATAAGCTCAATACCTCCTCCCTTATCCCCTACTGTAGGAAGACACTGTGAGCCTGGAAGGTCAGCGTTTACAGTTCATTGGACAGTATTTGCATGACAACAACCAAATGGCTACCTTTGGTATAAACAGCATGTAAATGAGAACACCTGGTGGGATATACAAAACAAAAGGAATTCCAATCAAGAGAGGGAAACAGTACGGACTCTCAGTGTATACAGTCTGATGCCCCTAATAAACTTCGGCTTTGACCATCAGTCAGGGTCCACCCGTGTTGTTATCGGCTCCGTGCACCAAGTCCATCGCTGCGGGACAGCGACACCCTATGACCCTCAGTCTATAAAGTCTGTCTATAAATTCTGATGCCAATAATAAACTTCGGCTATTGACCAGCAGTCAGTAGTCCACGTGTGTTATCTCCATGCAGGACAGCGATAATAGATATTTTTATCAGGTATAATTTGAAAAACACCAATACCAGACATGTCCATAAGTAGAAAACAGAAATTTCTTTAAAGGATTGATTATTTTTGATAAAGCAGGGTGACACTCCCCAAATTGCCACAACATCTCAGTCTGGGCCAGAAGGGCGTCAGGAGCCAGGAACTCTAGCAGGGTCTCTCACATGGGCAGAGAGGCCCAAGCACTTGAGCCATCCCCTCTTGCCTTCCAAAGCACATCAGCAGGAAGCTGCACTGGAAGAGGAGCAGCTGGGATGCAAACCAGCACTCCGATATGGGATGACCAACACCACAGGCAGTCCACTGTGCCTCAAGGCCAGCTCTAGAATCAATGAGTAAAATGTAAACAATGAAGACAAACAAAAGGCAAAAAGCAAAACCTTACACTCTCTGCACGATTAATACTTTACCTGCAAATCTTCACACAAAAAGATAGACTCTTGAAAACTAATTCGGTAAATCTTCAAGGCTTTTAACTTTCCCTTCTCTTTACAAGCAGGACAATAACCATCTGATGAAATGCTTGATGGATTATAATTCTAAAAGAGAAAGAAAACAAATTAAAATATAGATATTCCTGTAAGAAGTTAAACTGAAAGGCAACCAGAGAAAAATCAACAATTTTCAGCTAGAAATGTCCTGGCAAGATATTTAAATATGGTAAGTAAAATGACTGCACATCATGCTTTAAATATAGCTAGTATTCCAAAACGAACATGCTAGTTTTAAATTTCAGGTATTAAGAATCACATCGATTTCATTTCGAAGATTAAGGTAACATCAATTGCCAGGGAAAAATTATGTTCCATATTTTCAAATAGTAATCTATCAAGTATATATTTTATTTCTATTGTCACTTATCATTAAAAGAGAGGTAAACACATTATAATAACAATCTTTCGCCATTTTGTAAGATTTCCGTGGAAGGCAAATTTTCTTAGAATCTAATCCATAAAATGAAAACTAAATTTAATCTCAAAAATAGAAGAGTGGAAAAAAAAAACAACTTTGCACTGAGGCAAAAAATAAGTTCACTAACTTTTCCCAAATACCCCACCATGTGGAGTGAAGATATCCCTATATCAGCCCCTGGTCCAATCATTGGCAAACCATTTCCAATCTTCGGAGAATCCGTCATTCCGAGTCATTGGCTAATTTATGTCACTTGAGACATGTCAATACCACTAAGGATTTTTCAATGATCCCTGGAAAAAAAAAAGTCAATACACAATTAAATAAAAATCCTGTTTACTCTCAAAATGAGCTAAACTCTAAGATATATACATACACATACAAAGCACATTGTGAGAGCTCTTTATCCTAAGACAAACACATTCTACAGTTGTGATCCTGAAACAACAAAAATTCATTCACTAATTTAAAAAATGAGCAGCTGGGTGTGGGGGAGGGCAAAGGCTAAATTAAAAAGTTGTGGCAGCAGCAACTACTATTTGCAGCAAAGTGTATTTGCTAGGGTTTGAAAACCTATGTTTTTTTTTAAGAGTCCACGCACAATTTACAAGAAATATGCCTACATCATAGTAGGAACCCAGTCACTGTGTACTTAACAGGGAAAAAAGCACCAAGAAACCACATCTATACATTCCGTCTATTTTCAAACAGAAAAAAATACTTTGCCAGTTGAGAACTTACTTTTAAGAATCATCAGTAAAATATTACCCTGTATTATTTGTAAATGATCTGTACCAGACAGAACAAAAACAAACACTGCTCTAGCTCCAGTTACCTATGGGACAAGCTTGTTCTGAGCCTAACTTGGACCTAGTGCCACTCGCCACTCAGAATAACTGAAACTACTGACGGCGAAGTGACAGCAGTGAACTATACAGCCTAGGGGAAAAGAGGCAACAGAAAGCAGTTTAAACCCCGATTTAAAACACAGCAAAGCCAGATGCAGGAGACCTGCGAGGTGAATTACCGCTAGCACCGCTATTATAGAAGTGACTTCAAGCCACGTGTAAGCATCTGTGATTCTGCTCCCACCTCCTGCGAATCAGTGGTTTACAAGCTGCACACACCTCTCCAGCCAAGCAGTCATTTAAAAAGAAAAAAAGCCTCTGAAAGTGCCGGTGAATCTCTTTCCTACTCCTGAAGTAACCATAAGCAGGGTTTCCCAGCTGCCGCACTAGACCCACTGGACTGGACCGTTCTCTGGTGTGAGGAGCTGTCCTGTGGCATCACTGAGCCTTCCGCATAAACGCGACAACCCAAAACGTCACAATGCCAATGTCTCCTGGGAGACGGAAAAAAAAAATCACCCTACAGAGAAACACTGATGTTAACTGTTCTTTTTAAGCTCCTCACAGACTACACTAGCTTGAATACTCTTGTCAATTTCTACTCATAATCTCTGCACAAAAGGAAACCGTGGAGGAAGCAAATTGCCAGGGTTCCACAAAGGTTCAAAGTATGGGCTTTGGAACCTTCAAAGATGAGTCCAGAAATCTATGTGTAAAACTGGTTGTTGAATGAATTACGAGCGTTAAGCCAAGCCAGATACTTAACACAATACATTGCGGTAGTTCTTTGCTGTTTAATCTTCACCTTGAACAAAGTGGTTCTGATCAAACTCTCCTTTTGCATGAGGAGTCTGGGGAACTTTCTCAGATGGGTCTATTACAAAACTGCAACGTTAAAGAGAGCTTTCAAATCAGCTCTATCGATTCCATCGTCAAACACGCCAACGGGAAAAGCTGGGACTGGATTCCTGAACACAAAGAATCCCCTGTTGCTGGAAACCTTCACTTTAAAAACGACCAGATACAGACGCTCCAGGCCTTCTTTCAAATGTAATAGTTTCTTAAGATACAAAATCCTACAGTGCGTGCGTGCGTGAGGCAACCTACTCTCCCCCCTCCCTGCCTCCACCTTCATCGCTTCAAATTCAGCCGGCTCCTCCCCCCTGCCACAGTAGAAAGTTTGCACTTTCCCTTTCACATTTCTCTGGTAGTGAAAGTCACCAAATTCTCTGGACGGTTCTCCACCAGCAACTCAAAACGTCCATCTCTCCTTCCATTCCAACCCCGCTCTTTGCCGCTGTCAAGTCGGTGCTTCCGTAAACCAACCAGCCCCTCCATGGCTGCTTATAAAGCCGTCCCAGCAGCTCAACGCGACCTAACCATGCTACTGTGACCTAAAAGCTCCACGTGCTGACAACCAGCCCAGCTTCCCAGGGTTGCCTTTTTTCTCTGCTCCACTTCACAAACCTCAGCATCCAACACAGTCTTCGCAGAACTCATCGGGGAGGCCCGGTTGCAAATTACCAAACTGCAGGACAGTGAGTGAGACCAACGCCCCCATGACACCCCCGGCCCAGAGATTCGCGCCGGGCGGCCCGTTAAACCCTAATAGGGCAGCCCTGCCTGCAATCCGGGTGTAGGAACGGGCAGGGGGTCTTAGATCGAAGGCGAGACCACACCAGACACACGAGGAGGTGACCTGCGGCGCCCCGCACCGTCCGAGACCAGAACTCGACCCAGGTCGAGTTTCCAAACTCGCCTGGGGTAGTCTGAGACGCCCACTCCGCGCTCCCTGGGGCACGGAAACAAACTCTGGTTTCTCTTCAGTGTTTACCTCTCTGAGCCCCAAACGGACGTGAAACTCTCTAACTCCATTGCTTCATCGGGATTTCAAGCCGTGGCCCCAGCCCAGCCTCCATCAACCCCGTTCACTCCCTGACCCCCCAGTCCGACAGCGAAACGGAACCATCCTACCGCTCCCGTACCTGTGCCGGGCACGCCCCTAGTTCGTTCCGGGACGGTGCACACTCCCGTTCCAGCCTTGAGCTTCCCCCGACCGGGCGGCAACGTCCAACCCGCGTTCCTGGGACCGCTACTGCCCCGACTGCGCCGCCGCTAGGAAACAGCTTCCGGCTTAGCGTCCGTCGCCCAAGAAGGTCCCCCTTCCTGCAGCGCCACGCGCGCGCGGGCTCTGAAAGCACGCCGCGTGGCGGGGAAGGCTAGCGCGAGAGCACTTCCGGCCGGCCGGGCGCAGTTCCCGCGGCGGCGAGCAGAGGGGGCGGGGCCGGGAGCGGCCGAGCCCGGCCTGTGGGAGGGGCGGAAGGAGGGAGGGAGCAGGCGACATTTCTGGAAACTGCTGGAAAAAAACGCTCGAGCGGCGGAGGTGACGCCGGCGGCCTGGGGGGGTGGGGCGTGATTAAAACTAGTGCGCGGCCGGCTGCGGAGGGATTACGCTGAGGGCCGGGCCGCCCGGTGGCCGCTGGTTCGCGAGCCCGCTGCGCCGAGGGGACCCCGGGTTGGGCTGAGGTCGGGAAGGCGGAGCTGCCATGGAGCCCGTGTGGGCCTCGGCCGCTGGGCCGCGCCGGACGCCCCCCGGTCCGGCTGCCCCGTCCTCACGAGGGGAATCGCCGGGCGGCCTCGGAGAGCTGTGCACAAAGGGTCACCCACACACGGAGCCGCCCCTCCCTGTCTCCCTCCCTAACCCCCTCCTCGGAGGCCCGGAGCTTGGCCACGGCGATTCTGGGGTGTCTGTCCTCCTTTGCTCCCTCCCAGATCTTCTCACGGTAAGGGCAGTAGGCAGAGCACAGGGCCCTGCCCTCCGTGCCCGCTCGGCGGCCCGCCCTGCCCGGTGTCACTTCCCGGAGCCGGGCGGGGGTGGCGGTGGCTCCTCGTGGAGCGGAGGAGATTAAGCTCTGCCTTCGTAGGAAGGTCATGTGGTTTAGGGGACATCGTGACCGCGTGTGCTATTTCTGAGCCTGCATTCACAGTCTTGGGGGGCAGCCTGTTCCGCAAGCCCTTTCGGTCGACTGGTTCTGTCCTCCCCTCAGAATCTGGTTTCTTTCTGGTCGTCTCTATGCAGGGTAATCACGACGGGTATTCTGCAGTGTGGCTGATTTTTTTTTTTTTTTTTTTTTTGGTGGTGGTTTTTCTGTTTCGTCGTCTCAAATGATGATTTTTTTTTTTTTTCTGAAACGATTTTGAAAAGGTGCTCTAGAGGCGTCAGAATTCACATAAGAAATTCTGGAGTAAAATGGGGTGTTAAGTGTTTACTACTTTGGAAATGTAAATGGCCACGACATCAGCCAGGAGTTTTGTCAGGTTTTTTTTCCTCCAAGCAAAAATAGGCTGTTTTTTAAAAAATTAATTTTGTAGTTGTATCAGTATTTGTTGAGAGATCTCACCAAGTTAATATTTTTTTATGGTAGAAATTTGAGAACACATCATTTCCTCCCGAGTAGAAACCAAAACGAAGAGTTTTTTTTTTTTCTTGCTCATCATTGCTATTTTCAACTAGAGTGGATAGAATACACTATTATTTTTGTAATGCTTGGTAAATGTTAACTCATAAATTGAACAGTTGGTTCAGTTAGAATATAGATAAAAGTGTGAGGTTGCAAAATAGCATCACCAAACTAAAGCATATCAAAAACCAAATAGTCATCCACGAAGTTAATTTGGCCTTTTAAAGCAATTTTTTTTTCAGCCGGAAAAAAAGTGTAGTAGTGATGGGGGTAGGGGCAGATGGAGGCGGAGCGGAACGTAGGCGTGGCGGAGAATGCGGAGGAATTTTAGTGTGTGCCGTGTTCGGACTTGGAGTTTTCCCCTTTTAAACCAAACACAGTCTGGACTTGGAGATCAGAAGAGATTGACTGGAAAACTGGGGTTGTGTGAAAGAGTAATCGCAAATGGCTTCTGCTGTCCCCGTGGGTTTGGAATTCCTCACTCCTGTGCACTTCTCCCTGCCTCCAGCCCCAGTACTGTACAGTTAGGATTTTTTTTTTTTAATTTCCCTTTTTTCTTCATTTTTCTCTTCTCACATTGTAAGCTTTTGCAACCTGTGATAGGTTGAATTGCATAACCACCAAACAAGTCCTCTTCCCAAACCTTGGATACGGAAGTGGTCTGTTACAACTGTAGGTTTTGGTTTCAGGAAAAAACCAAAACCAGTGGAAGTGACTAACCTTGCTTCCTAGCAACAGAACAGGCTTTGGTTCCTTTATCTGAATCTAACAGTCAGAAAGCTCTGAAAGCCACAATCTGAGGCTTTGAGACAAAATGTGACCAGGACTAGTGAGAAGTCTGTTATTTGATAGGTTTTGCAGGAGCAGTGTGAGTATGTTTGCTCTCAGCCACTGGTATGTGGAGTGTTATGCAATGGTTTATAGAGCTTATAAATTTTTTTTTAATTCCAATAAATTCTTACTCCTAAAATGCATATAATGTTTGGATGTTAGTTAAGGAATTATAAAATTCAGTAGAATAATTTTGGCAATGTGCATGCGCTAGGCATTTGTATTTTTAAAAAAGTAAGGTATCTTACTTGTTAGCCTCAAGTAGATTCACATAAGTTATGACAGAAAAAAATATTTATCCTACCTGTAAGTGCAGTCATGTAGATATCCACAACCTGTTTGTAAATATAGCCATTTAGTCATATAAATAAGAAATTGCCACAGGGATTGCAACTCATAATAGTCGCCCAGACTCACTGGGACCTATTTTGCCTACACCAAGTGAAAAGGCTGTAAGAGAGGAGAAGTATGGATAGGTACTCGGCATTGATCTGCTGTTTGACCTTGTACAAGTTGCCCAGATTTCACGGCCATGGTTCACAGAGGTAAGAAGTGAGACATCCGGAATATGTGGATTTCCTAAGAAAGGTCTTCGGTAGTTTCAGGGACTGAGTCTTAAAGCTGTCCTGTTGTAAAAATGCCCTTGCCAGGGGGGACATTGAGCACAGTGGTTAAGGCACTGGTTGGAACATGCATGTCCCATGTCTGAGGGCCTTTCAGGTCCCAGCTCCGCATCTGGTCCTCGCATTCTGCCAACATGCACCTGCTGGTGATGGCTCAAGTTGTGGTTTGGGGAGAAGTCCCTGCCTCCATTTTGACTTTGGTGTCCTGCCTTCCACCTGAGCCAGCCCAGCTGTTATAGACATCTGGGGAGTGTACCAGAAGATGAGGCATCTCTCTCCATGTCTGCCATGTTTCTATGCCTTTCAGAAAAGTAAATTTAAAAAATGCTTATCAAGGACATGATCCTATTGATCTTAAGTGACTTTCTGATCTAAATTAACCATCTTGTTTTGGATTGGATGGTCCATTCCTGTAGCTAAGGGTATGGCATAAAAAGCCTGACCTTCCACACCTGCCCCTCAGAGAAGTAACCAAGGCTGTATCTTGACTATTTAAGAAAAAAAAAATATATATATATATATATATGTATATATAAGTTAGTACTACATGGTACATTTTTGTTTGTGAACAGAAACGGTGTCATACGTACATTTTATACATCATTTGTTTAGAAAATTATTTTGCGTAAGTTGCTTCATTTTTAGGCCTGCATGATATATTGGATAACGTGTTATTTCATCAGTCCTCCCCTTTTGAACATTGAGTTTTAAGAATTTGTTTTTTATTAAAAGTAGTCGTGTTCAGTGAATAATAGTAAATGTGAATGTATTCATGTCTTAAATAGTGGCATTCCTTTTACTTTGACTTCTGTGTTCCTGCACCATTGTGATACTTACATCACAAAACAGTGGGTGACTCCCTGTTGCTTCTGTAGTAACGTGCCTAGAGGAGGCAGACAGCGGCTCAAGCACATGAGTCCTTGTATGCCTATGGCAGATTCAGACAGAGTTCCTGGCTATTCCTGAGTTTGGGGTGTGGACCAACAGATAAATGTCTGTCTCTAAATCTAAAAATAAATGTGTATGAGATGTATAACCTGAGTAACTGTCTAAGCCCTAGACAAAGCAGGTAGACTATGTTTAGGAACTTTTTCCTAAACAAATCATCTTACGCATTTTTTAACATTAGAATTTTGCAACAGAGCAAGATTTACAGAGAGGCCTGTGAGAACTAAGGCCTGCTGGTACTCTAGTAGCTCATGTTCATTCTGGGTTATGAGCTTAAGTTAGTGCTTTTTAAAGTTTTTACCATGCATATATAACTTTCTGTGTATGATGCAATTCCCCTTGAATTCTTGGTTGGCAGTAAGAAAACAGCCTGGGCAGGTGTTAAGCCTAGTGGTTGAAGATACCCACCTTCCCCATCAGAGTCCTTGCGTTCAATACCTGATTGATTCCTGATTCCCGATTCCAGCTTCCTGCTAATACAGACCTAGTACTTGGGTGGTTCCTGACACCTGCATGAGAGACCTGGATTGAATTCCTGGTTCCTGCCTTTGGCCTTGTCTCTGCCTGTCCTGGGGGCTTTTGGGAAGTGAACCAGTAGACAGGAACCCTCTGGATCTCTACCTCCCAAATGAATAAAAATTGAAAACTAGACCTAAAAGAAGTGAGCAATTTTCCCAAATTTGCATAATCAAGTTACAGACCTGGGCTAATGCCTTCCTCCTGTGGCCGGGGCTCTTTGCAGTAGATTGCCCCCTTGGACTGAGCGGATCGCTCCAGCCGATGTGAGTGTGCATAGTAGTCAGGGGCTGCTTAGTGTATATTTTCTGTTTAGACAACCTAGGAGTTCAGAAAGCAACAGTATGTTCTTCCGGTGACAAAATAACATTCTATAAGTACTTGTTGAAGTAATCACACAACATGCTGATTAGCAATCAGAAGGTCTGCAAATCAAAAATTAAGCTCATATAGAGAGACACTCTTTCCTAATTGGGATGTAGTTGTCAGTTCAAGATGAATACCAGTCATAAGAACTAAAAGAGGGAAAAAAACTAGAAGAAATTTGGGATTATTTGGAAATGAATACTTACATTCCCCAGGGCATGTGCCATCATCTAATTAAATCAGAAGATGTAAAGCAGTTTGCCACCAGGAAAAGAAGTGATGACAGAAATGGTAGCAAAAGAATTGAGGTGTCGAAGGCTAGGCATGCACTGGAGTTACTGAAGCTAACATTGGAGTACACGGCCTCACCCCCTTGGGGCCAGAACGCCCTGCTGGCAGTGCTGTTCCCCTCATTTCTGTGTAACTGGCTCTTCCTTCATTTCCTGTGTATCTGCTTAAACATCTCTTGTAAAGCTTTCCTTCCTATCTGAAGGGCCCTCTCTCCTCCTCTACCCTAATTCTGTATTACTTCCCATTGCTTTTTTTCCTTATAGTAGTTCTATGGGTGTGTCTCGTATGTATGTTTTTTACATTCCTCTCTTGCTAGATTTGAGAGAAGGCAGACACTGCATCTTTGTCACCATCATACTTACAGTGCCTGCTACATATGAAGATCTTTGTTGATGTATGATGATCTTCAGTATTCAATTGATGTGACCAGTCAAACCTGTAAAATGTAGTGTTTTGTTTTGTTTTTTTAAGATATATTTTTATTGGAAAGTCAGATATACAGAGAGAAGGAGAGACAGAGAGGAAGATCTTCCGTCCGATGATTCACTCCCCAAGTGAGCACAACGGCCGGTGCTGCGCCAATCTGAAGCCAGAAGCCAGGAGCTCTTCCAGATCTCCCACACAAGTGCAGGGTCCCAAGGCTTTGGGCCATCCTCGACTGCTTTCCCAGGCCACAAGCAGGGAGTTAGATGGAAAGTGGAGCTGCCAAGATTAGAACCGGTGCCCATATGGGATCCTGATGTGTTCAAGGCGAGGACTTTAGCTGCTAGGCCATGCTGCTGGGCCCAAAATGCAGTGTTTTCAATGGCCTATTTCCCTTATGTTTTCATATTTGTTAGCTCGAATGTACAGAAAAAATACTCTTCTATAGAAAAATACTTGTCAGCAAGCTTTTATTAAGTGTGCAAGACATCATGCTAAGTGCAGAGGGAATACAAAGGTGAATAATGCATAGCTCTTATCCCTAAAGAGAAGTAGAAACATTTGTAAACAAGCAGCTTTCCTCCAAGGCTGAGTGAGGCCGGTGCTCACCAGTTGCTGTGTAAGCAGATTCTGCAGGATCAGTGCAAGAAAACTTAAGGAAAGCCTCATGGAGCTGAATTTTTACTTGGGCCTGAGAGAAAAAAAAATTATTGATTTGAAAGCCAGAGAGCAGGGGAGATAAATCTTCCATTCACGCATTCAGCCCTCAGACAGCTGAAAAATGGCCAGACCTGGGCCAGACCGGGAGCTCCGTCTGAGTCTCCCACATGGCGGCAGGGGCCCAAGCATAGAGGCCGTCTCCCACTGCTTTCCCAGACACATTGGCAGGGACATGGATCAGGAGCAGAGCAGCCACCATGTTGCCGGCAGCCACTAGTTTGTTTTTTGAAAGTGGGTTTTAGGTTAGTGGTGGTGTTTTAAGATCACTAAGTGTGAACTGCTTTGGGGTACTCTGATGTAACTTCTCAGTTTTTCTTTTGCTTTCCTGCCGTTGTTCTCTTAAGGTACTGTGGACTGTCTCTTCCCACTCCCACTGAAAAAGAGCAAAAAAAGGCATATCCATTAGATTCACAAACGATACCACAACTGGGCCACTTACTAATCCTAGCTCTGCCACTTTCCATTTTTGTTACTTCAAGCAGAATATTCGGCCTCTGTGTGGCTTAATGTCTTTACAAAATGAAAAAATCTACTAATTTCACTTCTGTTTTTAACTAGTTTTGTGACCTCAGGCAAATTGTCTCAGCTCTGATGTAGTTATCTTAAGTAAGTTGCTATGTAAAATGGTGTCCACAGTTCTGCCCTGATAGCTGAGCACTTGCTCTCTGTCACCACCTCCACACTCTGCCTGTTCTTGAACTTCGCCTAAAGTTTTGGGTGCCATAACCTTTCCTTAGTACTAGCAGAGCTAGGAGTTGTTGCACTCATCATGTTTGCCACTGGTGCTTGAGTAGGTACTGGCAGTGTGTGTGCGAGCTGCCGTTCAAGGGCCAGCACCACAGACAGCTGGGCCGCCTGGGTCCGACTGCCCACTGCGCTTCTCATCTAGATTTTTGCTAGCATACACTCCGGAAAGCAGCGGGTCATGACTCATGTTTCTGTATCCCTGCCTTCCATATGGGAGACATGGATGGAGTTCCTGATCCTGGTTTTGACCTCTGCCCGACCTAGCTGTTTCCAGCATTTGGGGAATGAACCACCAAATGAGAGGTCTCTTTTGATCTCCCTGCCTTTCACAGAGAGAAATACAACATTTTAGAGGTGACCTGCCATCACTGTTGTGTTCTGAGGGTTGCACAGCTCGGCTGGCTTGGACAAGAGAGACCTTCACAGGTCTGTGATCATCTCATGAGCTGGGATTCACTGGGGGAGGCCTTCTCGGATGCTGGCTTCACCAATTATATTACGTGTTGGCTTGATTTCATATTTCACAGAGCAAGGAGTTAATAATGTTTAACAACTCAATAAAATTATTAAATGTTAATGATACTTTTTGAAATAATTAAATTTTTATATATATGATTATATAGTTGCCCAGATAGAGAATTGATGGGGAGAATACGTCCACAGCAGTTTCTGCTGCTTACCCCTCTTTCCCGTGTAGCTGAGCGTGTAAATCAGTGATTCTGTAGTACGATCAAGGACTGCTGTCAGTTGCACACTCTTCCAGATAGTCTGAAAGCTCGCGCATTCCAGTGTTCTGATCTATTCAAATGAGACTTATTGCAGTGGTGATCAGAATGAGGCGGACTGGTGGCTGGAACATGATGTAAGGGAGAAGTTGAAATGTTCACTGAACAGGGTATGTGATCCATTTGGTCTTTGTCTTTACAGCTTTTCAACATAATAGAAGAGAATTTAAAGATTACAGTGGATGTTTTAAAGTAAACTCAAAGTGCCTAAGTATTCTTTGGCGTTGTAACCATAAGTATTTGTTGGATCTGTTTGTATTTTAAGTTACGTAAAGCACCTACAAGCGAACGATGAGTTAGTATAATTTGCTTTCCCATCTGAACGTAAGCCGTCAAGAGAATATAGAGCATGCCAGCACAGGCCCACATCACTTAGATGTGAGAATTTCCATTCAGGTAGACAAATCTGACAGCAGCTCTCAGCATCAAGTATTAGGAGGCACTGTTTTGCTAATCAGGAAAGAAATTTCAATAAATTCATTTTACTTTCCAAATGTGATTTGTCATAACTAATCAATAAAGCCATGTTTGGTTTGGGTGCTGATTAGCTTTGGAATGAGCTCTCCCCTGAAGTCTTAGGATAAGTGAGAGGTGGTGTACTTCTGAGCCAATAGGTAATAATAATTCAATGAAAAACAAAAAAACTCCATCTTGGGACAAATCTAAGATTTTTCCTTCTAAGTGAAAGGTTAGAAAAGCTGAGAAATGTTAACTTTCAGAATATTTTGCCAGCAAGTACTACTCCCAAAAATTCTCCTTCCGAGAGTTGGCCTTCAACACCGCTTGCTAAGCTCACATACCACAGCAGAGTGCCTGGTTTTGAGGCCCAGCTTCCTTTGGTGTGCACCCGAGGAGGCAGCAGGTGATAGCTCAGTAGCTGGGATCCGGTCACCCACATAGAAGACCCAGATTAAGTTGTTGGCTGCCAAGTTCAGCCTGGCCCATCCCCAAGCTGGTGTGGATATTTAGAAATTGAGCTAATGGGTGGGCGATCGCTTTGTGCCAACGCTGAGTTGTTTGTGGCTTTCACATATGAGGAAAAATATGTGGCATTTGTCTTTCTGTGTCTGGCTTTACTTGACATGATGTCATCCAATGTACAAGTAGAAATACCATTCTATACTCAGTTCATTGACAACCAGAACAGTGTACAGGGTGCCACTAGTTACCAAGACTCCTAAGTTGTTTCCAGGCCAACAGCTCCTGTGAGCTTGAGACTTGTGTATCTATGTGCCTCTGTGACGTATTCACATGTGCCCAATAGGCATTTCAAAAAAATTTTTAAGGATTTATTTATTTTTATTACAAAGTCGGATATATAGAGAGCGGGATAGGTAGAGAGCAATATCTTCCATCCAGTGATTCACTCCCCAAGTGAGTGCAACAGCCAGTGCTGTGCAAATCCAGAGCCAGGAGCCAGGAACTTCCTCCAAGTCTCCCACATGGGCGCAGGGTCCCAAGTCTCTGAGCCATCCTTGACTGATTTCCCAGGCCACAAGCAGGGAGCTGGATGGGAAGTGGAGCTGCTGGGATTAGAACCAGTGCCCATATTGGATCCTGGCGGCACGTATAAGGCGAGGACTTTATCTGTTTGGACATGCCGCTGGGCCCGCATTTCAAATTTGTATGTGCCAAATTGAATGTTTCAGTGCCATCATGCACGTCTGCTCACTCCCAGACAAGTGAAGCACTGATCCCATGCCTGCTGCCTCTCTTACCTTGCTAATCTTTCTTACCTCAAAATAAGAAATTTCCATTATTTGCTGGGGCAAGAAACTCTGGTGCCAACTTCTTCTCCTTTTTTACCTCTGTATCTAACATTTACTCTCAACAGATATGACCAGTCCTACATTTTTTAAAAGATTTATATTTTATTTATTTTATTTATTTGTTTATTTATTTAAAACATTTACAAAGAAAGAGCGAGATGTCTACAGAAGCCAGCACTGGGCCAGGCAGAAGCCAAGAGCTTCCTTCAAGCTTCCCATGAGTGGCCCCAGCACGTGGACCATCTGCTGCTGCTTTCCTGGGAGAATTAACAGAGAGCTAGACGTGGAGCAGCTGGGACTTATACCAGCACCTCTATAGAATACCCACATTGCAGGCAGTGGCTTTACCTGCCACACCTCTGTGCTGGCCCCAGCTAGCCTTCTAAAATATGTTTAAAAGCTAAACTGTTTAGCAACTCTCACCTCTGCTGTCTTGATCCAGGCTGCTTTCTGTCACAGGTCATCTCAAGAGTTTCTCAGTCTCAGCATTGTTGACATTTGTGGCCTATGGTGTTGGGGGAAAAAGACTGACCTCCTCTGCATTGGGCATTGTAGGATGGTCAGCAGCTTCCTGAGCCTCTGCTTACTTCATGCAAGCAGCAGCTCAGCCACTGTCGTCACCAGCCAAAATGTCACCAGACGCTGCCGAAGCATTCCTGGGAGGCACAGTTGCCCACAGTTGGGAACCACTGGATTATCCCAATATTCTCTTGCTCTCTGCTCCTTTGCTTGTCTCTCCACAGTTTATTTTCCATCCAATAGCTAGTGCATCACATAAAAACATCATTCCTTTGCACAAAATTTTGAAATAGTTTCCCATCTCTTCAGGGTCAAATCTGTGAGTACTTACATAGCCCTTCCCCACCAATACTTTTTTTAATTTAATTTTTTTCATGATAGCAGTTTCATAGGTTCAGAGATTTCTCATTTTCCCTTCCCCTCACACTGTTTTTCCCCATATAGTATTATAATATATAGGACCTACAAGAAGTCACAAATCCATCATTCTGCTTTAAGTGTGTCATGTCATTGTAGGTATAGACAGTGGGAGAAAGTCCAGCATCCAGTTGTCAAAATGTACTTAACCATTTCATTGGGAATCCATCCTTTATTCGGGAGTAGAGAGATGCATACTGCACTAATATCTTCAGTTCTCGGTGTGCTAGTTTCCATTATACAGTTTATGTATATACATGTTTACCTATATATCTATGGATCTTGTATTTCATGTGAAGGTTTGCCTTATGTCATAGAGAACGAATAATATTTGTCCTTTGGGGATTGGCTTTTTTCTCTGAGCATAACAGTCTAGTTCCCCTCTAACATTTTCTTCCTCTCTGTCAGATAAAAACTGAAAGTAGAATTTAAAAATGTGCAAATAAGTAAATAAATAAAGCTCAATTCCAGTGATTTGACCACAGATGCACTTCTCCCCGGATGAGCCAGAGAACCAGATATGGGTTTTGGTCACTCCTGTCAGCAAGCTACAGGGTGTTAATTTTCTCACTGGTTTCCTCACCTATAAGATGGGATTAATGCTGCCATTACAGAATGATGTTTAGGATTGAGTGGAAAGATTTCAGAAACACCTAGTGAAACTGATTCTCCACAGGCATGCGTAACCCTTGATTTTGCTTTAGCATGTTTCTTCACTAGAAAAAGTTTTTGTGTGTGCTGTTTATCTGATTATCTTTAAACTAAACTTGAATGACCTAGACTGGAATTCCTGTTAAAGGAGACAGTGATTAAGATTCCAGGAGCTGAGCAGTAATAAGGAAAATTCCAATTTGATTGAATTAGTTGTTTGGAGACTGTGCTCTGAGCCGTTCCACCTTGAAGTGTCAGCGGCCAGTGATCAGGTAATAGATGAGCTTACCCTTCTAGGGGACTTCACATGCCAGCAAGCCAGTGAGGACGGGCTTCTGGGACTTCGCTTTGCAGTCTTTCCACCAGGCGGGCAGCCCAGGCAGATGGTCAGATGACTCGTGGAAGTTTGTACACAATTTAGAGAGTCTGATTTCTGCAGGCAGTGGGGAGGGGCCACTTGAAATGAATTGAATTACTCATGCCCTATGATTTCATTTGCATACGTGCCATTTAGATGAACATGGGTGCAGCTCCTACGCTGTGCTGCAAATTCAGGTTTGGGCCTCTTGTTGGCCGAGTTGGGCTCTGCCCAGAGTGTACCTGTTTGTTGATGCCTTGACTCCCAGGACCTCAGAATGTGGGATCTTAGAGACAAATGCAAGAGAGCTATTTAGGGTGGTTGAGAAGAGGAAATGAGCACACACAGGGAGGGTAGTTAAATCACAGAGCCAACCATGGAGGACATTTCAAGAAGACTGGAAGCCAAGGAGAGCGCCCTTGGGGAAAGCAGCCCTCCCCACATGGTGATCTGGGCCTTTTAGCCTCCAGAACTCTGGGCGAATAGGATCCCATTGTGCCAGCCTTCCAGTCTGGGATGCTTTCTTTGGTATCCCTAGCAAAGTTAATACAGGGCTTATTTCTCATCCTTAGACAGGTGTTAAATGTTTATTTTTGCAAAACCCAAACCCTTTGTCATAAAAAGCAAATGGAGAATGCACTATAAAAGAACCCTTTTCTCATGAAGTAATAATACTGAGCTACTCAACCTGGTATTTGAAATAATTATGTCAGAGGAATCTTCTTTATGCTGCCACAGCCATGACCTCTTTCCTTTTCCTATCAAGTTCCATCCTATCCCAGTAAAACAAGCAAGTATATCTGGAGACAGCTCTTCTACATTTGCTTGCTGTATTTTTGGGTGCAGTTCCTAATTTACCAGACTTTAGTCATTTTTCTAAGTAGCAGGAGAATCTTTGTGTTTTTCTGTTGTCACTTCATGAAAACCACGTGAGCAGACCAGTTGAAGGGAAAAACCTTAGTGCTTGCTGAGCACCTGCACAGCGTTCTCCAACTTACATAAAACATCCCCTTTAGTGAGAAGACAGCAGTAGCCTGAATGCTGACTAGCCCTGCCATTATCTGATCTGTAGTACCTGGGAGTTAACACCAGTTATTGGAATCTGCAGTCACAAACCGTTTGGTGAACTGTGAAAGCAACATATCCCAGGGCTGCAAATCTGTTAGCATAAGCCTGGAAACAGTGACTAATTTTCATGTGCATGCCCCCTTCTTCAAAGAGGGGCACTGAAGGAAAAAATGGGAGAAGTGGCTGACTTCTGAACTATTCCATAATAATTCTGAGGAAGAGACAGCTACACTAAGGACATGGGTCACGTTTCTGGATTGGTATATCCCATCTAATAGCTAAAAGACTGAAATTGTTTCCTGGGGCTTGGAATGGCTGTAGAAAAAGGAGCCACAAGGGAAAAAGATGCTAATTAAGCCTACTCATTGCCAGTCAGGCTCTGAGTCAAATGTGGACCAGACTGGTTTCTGTAGGTCCCTTGGGCATGTTTTTAAAGACTTGTAAAATACATGTAATGACAAAGACGTTTTACGACACAGAGCTGAAAAGATTTCACTGTCTGACTCTGGGGTGTGAAAGTTTGCTACTCTTTGCATATAGTTAACAGAGAGTTTATATTCCAAGTTGAAAGACCAATGGCATACTGTGGACTCTGGAATACGAATGATCATCCCAGACTTGTGTGGTGTCTTATTACCCTGTTTCAGACCTTCTAGAAGGTCAAGGGCTCCTCTCTGTCCTGCATTAGTTTGTGAAGGCTGCTGCAGCAAGGCCTTGTGAACCACAGAAATGTGGTCCAGCACAGTCCCAAAGGACAGCCCACCAGAATCCTCTGTGGGCAGGGTTGGTTCCTTCCAGGGACTGTCCCATGCTTCTCCCTGACCTGTGATGCGTTACTGGCTTTCTCTGACACAACACCAGGAGTGCTGTTCTCATCTTCACAAGGTGTTCTCTGTGTGTGTGTCTTTCCAGATTTCCCTCTAAGGACAATGGTCACATTGGACAAAGACCACCTTATTACCTGCCAGGACCCTACTTTCAAACAAGTTTGCTTTGACAAGTGCCAAATACTTCAGACAATTGGGGCAACATGAAATTAAAATATAAGTTCACTTTGGCACAAAAAAATGTGAAATTCATTTATTTCTTTCATCACAGGCATTTTATGCCATTTTTGAGGACCCCCTGTATGCACGGATGACAGAATGATTCTTCACCATGATGAACTTAATCTTTTAATTCTATTTTCCATGAGCTTTTAGAAGTGACTTTACATTGAAGGTTAGCACTCCAGCATCTTTTGAGAGAGAATTCAACCCATCGCATCTCCCAAGCCTTTGTGTCACAGGTCACAGCAGATGCACCAAGCAAGAGGAAGGAAGTCAGTCAGATTTTTTTTTTCAGCTAATCTTGGAACAGAGCCAGTATTAAAGTATAGGTGCACTGCTAGTCCAGTATTTGTTCATCTACACACATTACACAATAATGTACAATTGATTGTAGTGTAATGAGGTTCAAATCAAGTGTTTGTATTCATTGCGTTATTCCAGTTCTCTTTCATATGCCTCCCATTAATCATAAAGGAATAATAAATTATACATGGGTCAGAATTAATCTATCATTTCCATTACTGAAATAAGCTCATCATACAATAATGTTAGGTTAAAGCCATCTTTATCCAATTCAGAAAAAAAAATGTATTCAAGGCATGTGTGTGCTTGAAAGTATCTAAGCATTGAAGTACCTCACTGTGAGTGTAAGAAGGCTGAGCTTGCCGTGATATGGATCTGCACACGACCTCTTTGTATAGTATTTATGAAAAGTGACCCAGTCACAAGTTCCAGATGCTTAGAGTCTCCCTAGCTTTGTACTTTAACAAATCACTTTTCCTTTTTTTAATTTTTAAATATTGTTTACATAGTTGAGAGGGATGAATGCCCATATGGGTCTCCAGTAAGAGTGTGGAGGGTCAAGGTATGGAGGAGGTATGCAGGACAGATATTTCAGTTTTTTTCTCCTGTGTCCTCAGGAATGGAAGGAGAGAGGCCACTTCTTGCTGTCAAACTATATCAGTACCCGGGCATAGGGGCTGGTCATTTGATGAAGCCTTAGACTGGGGAAGAGTGTTGAGTGGCTTTCATAGTTTTGAGAAGTTACCGGTTTAGTTGTTCCAGGGTCAAGAGACAATTTCCAAACTGTTTGCTGACCAAGTCAACTTCAGTGCATCCACAGGCCCAGGAACACATTGCAGAACTTGGCTAGGAAAGTGGTCTAACCTGTTCTGCTTTCCATCCTCTGATGAGGTACTTGTCCTCTGTGATGAGCTGGCTATTGTGTCCCCACTGTGCATCTGGGCATGCTGTTCACTGCACAGGCATCAGCAACTGAGACCTAGACCCTTCACTTGCACACCATGGTCAAACCACATACACTGATTTTTCTTGTGCCTGAGGTTTTAGTTGAGTGATCTAGTTGGGGAAGTCCCCCAGAAACCTTGCCTGAGGTGACCCCAGACTTGACTCTTGGGTATGCCAGCCAGTGTAGGATCAGGTTCTGTCCATCGCCTGTACCAGGTAGATGAAGTTTGACTGTCATTCACATCATTGTAACACCCCCTCCAGACTAAATAGAGTTAGCCTGTGAAACCAGCAGACCACTGGGTAAATCAGTACATAATGTCAGAGACTGAACCTGATGTCATGGCTTTCTGTCTTGCATGTCACTCTCTTGCATCACTCACTCATGAGGACACTCCTGCAGCCCTGGGGGAGGGTCTGTGTGATAAGAAAGTCAGGCTTCCTAGCGACAAGCAGCAGTTGCTGGCTGACTTGTGAGCGAGTCACCCGGAGAGATGAGGCTCCCGGTACCCATCCAGTCCTCAGCCCACCACAGCCCCAGCTGACTTCTGGTCTTCAGCTGAGCCAGACCCTGTTAAGTCGCTCCTGGATTCCTGACTGTAGAAATGTTATGAAAAAGTAAAGGATTATTTTGCTAAGGCACTACATTCTGGTAGAAATATGTTCTGGTGCAGTAGACAATAATACAACCTTTGTTGATTCTTGTTTTCAGATCATTCTTTGAATCTTTATCTCCCACTTGATTTTTATCTACTCATGAGTGGAGTTTCATGTCCTAACTCATTCTTGTATACAGTGTTTCTTATACCAAATGTGCATAATTTGGATCATGGCTATAACATCTGGGCTATCACTGCCCACTCCCCATACTTCCGTGTGGAAGAACATAAATCACCTATACATTTGATTTCAAACTGAATATGATCATGTGAGTTTCCTGAAAACAAATTTAATATTTGAAACATGCAAGGGAAACAAAACTGCAAGTATTGATAATGAGGCTTTACCTTTTTTGTAAAGATTTTTAAATTTATTTTTATTGGAAAGTCAGATATACAGAGAGGAGGAGAGACAGAAGAAGATCCTCTGGGGCCACCAGGATTAGAACTGATGCCCACATGGGATCTCGGTGCGTGTAAGGCAAGGACCCAAGCCACTAGGTAGCACACTAGGCCCAAGACTTGGCCTTTTATCAAGAATCTGGAGAAAGACGGTGGAAACAGAGAAACTGTGAAAGGAGCTGTGAATCTGGAAAATGCACCAGATCAAGAAGACTGCTTACTTGCTTGCTCCTATTCTGTATTTGATGATAATTTCAAATGCACAGATAAGCTTAAACCAACACAAATAGCACCCACATGCCTTTTACGGCCCTGGAGGTTTCGCGTCGTTACCTTCTTGCTTGGGCTCAGGTACGCTCCTGCTCACTCTGTGCTAGTATGTATCGCTGCCCACTGTAGTGTATAGGCATATCAACATTGAATTCCTGAGAATTAGAGTTCACAACATCAATAAGCTTAACATCAATCCTTTTCTGCTTATCATCCAATTCTGCAAGTGATCCAATAATGTCTTCTGTAGCATCTCCTGCCATTCCTGTAACAGGGTCCAGTGTAGGGTTATGCTTAGCTCTGTGTCTTTAGAACATTCCCAGAGCCTTTATGACATTGCTGTTTTTGAAAATTTAGCTTCAGGTTATGCATTCTATAAAATACCTTTTAAAATGTCCTAAGAAGCAAAACAGTGCTATCCAAAAGGTCAATTTAAAACAAAATTTAGATCAAATAAAGTGTAGAAGAATCATTAGAAGTCAAAGTGGAAAACCAAAATATGTTGTAGCATCAACTCCCTAGAAGATATCTAGGATAGTTTTTTAGCCTTACAGTCGTCAGCTCAAAAGCTGTATTAAAAAGAAAAAAAAAATCTAGAAATGTCTGGACATCGAGGTGACCTTAGCTGAGTTTATTTCGTTTTGACGTGAACTTTACTCCCCAGAGAGCCAGTGATAACTTTCTGCGAAGAGGAAGGTTTTCTTCCCACTCCTTCTGAATTTATTCAGCAAACATTAAAGTCCTATTATCTGCCAGAACGGGGGTGGACCCTGGGAATACAAAGGAGCATGTACCGTAGACTCAGTGTTCCAGGATGAATTTCAGCGGATAAAGTGTGGCAGGGCAGGGGGCACTTTTCATGGGGAGAGGCCCCAGCACCCCAACTGCCCCAAGAGGGACGCCCTGGCACACATCCATTTACAAGCAAGCTTCCCTTGCAAGTGCTTGGCATTTTCATGACTTGAGCCACATTGACCGGTTTGTTATTGTCGGAATATAGCTTGTAGGAAAGCTGGGACAGCAGAGGCCTGTGGGACCCTGTTGAGAAGAGGCTCCGGGAAATAGAGGCGGAAGGCCTCTCACTCCCAGTGAGTCCCTGGATGTGTTTCCGTGCTCTCCCTGAGGATAGGCAGATATCAAGGTCGGACAGTATTATCTATTCCCTGTTTCAGTAACTGACTAAGTCACCTTGTTAACTTCTTTGTTGTCTCTGTGTTCTTAGGGATGATCTAATTCTGAGTTAGGTCTGAATCATTGTTTCATGAACTGTATAAAAACAGACCCTGGAAATAAACATTGTCAGTTGCCAAAAGAGCACTGTCCCCCATTTCTTCAGGTCGCATCTCCTCCCCAGGAACCCACAAGGTAAACTTGCAGTTATAGGCAGTTCCTTGCAAACAGCTAGGGGATAGACAAGATTATTTCTCTTAATATTGGTATTTTTCAACTCTTGAACTTGTTTTTGCATTATATAAAATGTCCCATGGATTCCTTTCTAAAATAACACTAAATTTAAATTTTTGTTTCTGTTCATTTACACATCATTCCTGACAGTATGAGGTGACTTCATTATGGTCAAGGAAAATAGAATTAAATTTGTTTTGATGCAAAAACAGTTTTGAAATTTGTGGGTAATTTTACTATCATGTATATTTTCATATTCATTCTGTATTCTTTCCATCTTTCATGGTCTTCATTTTTTATTCTTCACCTTCTGAAGACTCCTCATATGCATGGATATTTAGTTTTTGTTCTTTGGTTTGGTTTGGTTTTACACTGTGCCAGGACTGTGGTATAATAGGTTAAGCCGCCAGCTGTAGTGCCAGCATCTCATATGGGCGTCGGTTCAAGTCCGGCTGCTCCACTTGCCATCCAGCTCCCTGCTAATGTGCATTGGAAAGCACTGGAGGATGCCTAAGTGCTTGGACCCCTCACTCACGTGGGAGACCTGGATGAAGCTCCAGGCTCCTGGCTTCAGATTAGCCCAGCTCCGGCCACTGCAGCCATTTGAGGAGTGACCAGTGAATGCAAGAACTCTATCTCTCCTTCTCTCTCTGTAAATATGCCTTTCAAATAAAAATAAATCTTTTTCTAAAAAGTTGTTTTGCACTAAATTAGGCTTGTTTTTTAGTTTCATTTTTCACGAACTATTTGAAATACCCCTCATATCATAGGTAGATGTTAAATATTATTTTAAGGGAAATGTATTTTTAAGTCTGAAGAATTTGCATGTGCTCTTGCTGTGATCATACTTAGGGCTTCGTTCTGGACTCTCTCCGTGCAGCAAGACTGTAAGCCATTCATCTTGTCTGGAGACTTACACATTCTCAGCACTCAGCTCTGTGAGTCTGGTTTCTGTAGGGAAATGCCATTACAGACGGGCTGCCAAAAATACTACGAGTTAAGCCTGAGCTGCTGAAGCTGCCGTGATTGATAGTCAGAGCATCACTGCAGATTCATTCCCGTTTCTCTGCAGAATG